CCCAATTATAAGTTCTAGTTTGAAAATTATCTATCAATAGCTAAAAGAAATGCAGAAAAAAAAACTTATAACTTGTTCGAAAATTATAAGTTGCAACCTACTCCGTAATAGCAATGACAGTGTCAACCAATAACCACATTATTATATATCAACTAAATACTAGCATAATAAGAAAACCACCAATATTGTTATCAAGCTATTTTAATCCAAACATCATTGTATGTTCGTCACTGTGCACAACACATCTTATCTCGGCCAAGCAAATTTATTATTCTTCCATTTATACATAGCAACGGCAATTCGTTCTCGGACAACAACAGATTGACTCTGATATACAAAACATTCATTAGAAAACAATTGAAATAAATACTTCAATGAAATAAAGTAAATACATAAATCCTTTTACCTCTGATAGTTGTTGTATTCCTCTATCAAACATCATCATCATACAAACATACACTCCGCAATCATAGCTGTAACATTACACTACGTTAGCAATGGTAATACATGAATAAAACTATTTCATGTAGTATATAATAAAAGTATAAAGCATACAAATTCGGTTGTTTAGGAACCCATGTTGGGTAATCGCATTCAAATTTATCTTGTATGCTCTTTATACGGTATTTGCATGGCATCAATTTTTCGAACAAACACTCCATCCGAGTAATCTGCAGTTACAAAATAGTAGTAACGTAAGAAAAAATCAAATTTCCCATAAACAAAAAAAAAAAAAAATTATCAAACAATGCTTATACAAATAAAATTATTATTTGTTAAACTTACCACTTCATACAATAAATTTCTTCTGTAGTCCTTTGTTGCATCTGATAGAAGTGTATCACAAATAAGGACATGTTTCATCTCTAAATCGACAATACCAAGGAACCAATGCCCCTTGTGATCATTAATTGGCAAATATATCTGACAATCATCCTCCACTTCATTTGTCAAATATCGCAGGAACGGTATGATCTTGTCGTCATTAATTATTGTTTTTCCGGCCAAGCAAAGTTGCTACATAAAAAAAGTATGAATATTAATAATATATCAAAATAAAAATAAAATAATTAAAATAATTTTTTTATTGATTTACTAAGCATATAGAAACTTACAGCAAATTGTGCTGGCAGGAACAACTTATTCTCCGCGAAATTTTCTTTGGCCTTTTGTGTGAGCATATGTGCCACACAATCTATCACCTTTCATTCAACGATATAGCAATATAGTTATATTATCAAAAAAATTGACTACAGCATTATAATATGAGGTTATATATATGCTTACAGTCCCGTTTAAGAATGTCTCAGGCTTCAAGCACAATAGGTCGTTCCTATTACATCCAATTGCTTCAAACTTTATTACCGACATTCTGAACAAATAAAATAGTATAAATTAAATAAGGAAATAAAAAATTCCTATTGAAAAATACAATCATTACGATCTACTTTACCTTTGATCCAAGTTTGGATTAAACAAGTAGTCAATTATGACATCTTCATGTTCTTCTGGGCTGATTGGGGCTTCTTCTTGTTTCGCTGCAACTGGTTGTTCAGCATCATATGAAGTAAGGTCGATTGTATTGTTTTTAGTCATTTCAAAAACAGATTCGACCATGTTTGGACTTTCGATATTGACGTTTAATGATTTTTGTTGCTTATTTGTCTTAAACATGACTTCGTCCAATGCATCTCGTATTAGTTGCGGAAGAGTGGCCTCTAAATTCTGAAGCATAGCGACAATCTTATTTCCTAATTCCTGGTTGACTGTTTGATATCCACCTTGGTCTACGCTTGCAAGTCGGTTCGAGAAATTATCCATAATACTGATTAATTGAGCTATTTGATTCTCGCTACCAGTTATTCGTTTATCATGCCCCGTTACTTGTGCACTTAATAACGATAATTTGGTTCCTGTGTGAAAGTTATCATGCACTTTCTCTCTTTGACGTGTGTCGTGCGAATGGTTAATCACATCCTCTTTGAAACCCTCAGTACTCCTATCCTCATTTTGTTTGCTCATAAACTTTTGTAGATCACTCGGAAAATCTCTATCCCTATGTTCACTAGCAACTTCAGCAACCCCCACTTCTGTTTTAACTTTTGTTTTGACTTCTGTTTTAACATTTGTTTCAACTTTTGTTTTACCTGTATGCTGCACGTCATTAAACAAAGTATTTCTCTGACTACGCGTGGGACTTTCCTTGAAAACGAAGGTGCATGCCTGAAAAATGGATTACAATTGAATTATAAACTGAGTTTGAGAATTATAGATACTCGAACAACATATATTGAGTAATTACATTCTCACTCCAATATCCTCCACTTTTTGATATATCAGACATCAAAGAACTGACCCTTTGCCTCGTTACAAATTCCAAGAAAGGTCGTTCGGATGTTAAGTTGATGGTACACTGTGAAATTTTTGGTCGTATAGTCGCAAAAAAGAAGACCTGTAAATCACCAATAAATATATTATTTCAACAACACAATGTGGTAAATGTAATTATCGTATTGCATTTGATCTAATTAAATTATACCTGAAGAAATAATAAAGATCCACATATATATGTTTGTTCTTTTTTTGTCCATTGTCTAATTCCATCACTTAGAACTTCCAAAATGAGGCTCGCCCAATTAAGTTCTTTAATGTTGTTTATCGCCACCAAAGGATTCAAATAATGTATCGGTAAGTTTTGACGGCAACTGGGAAATAATACTGTGCCAAACAACAAGGCCATATACATAACCTTAAATTCATCACCCGTATTATCACATGCTTTAAGGCTTTCAACTAAACTTTTCATGTCTACTCGTCCATCGATAAGTGTGAATAAGTTTCCATATTTTTGCAACCCATCCGAGCATAAGTTGTCCAATAGAATGGTTTGACCAGTGGCAGGTACACCGAAAGCATTTTCAATATCTTTATCATCCAATGAATAACAATGATGGCGTATGTTGAGACAATTGTTATATGGATCGTATCTTTCTACTATCCATCTCAGTATCCCTTTGTCCAGATGATCCAGTTGAAGTCTAGCAAATGATCCAAACCCCATTGACTCAATACATTCTATCTGAGTCTTTTTCAGGGTTTTATTTACGTCTAATAACTTTGGAATTGAGGTTCTGTGCTCGAATTTCGGGACCTAAGTAAGCACATAAACAAACTGTATTAGCACATAAAGATAATTTTGAATAAACTTTACCATATAAATATTTTCTTTAATAATATATTCAATAGGGGGGAAAACATACCTTTTCGTTAATAAAATTTTGACATTTTTTTCTATGCATCTCGTTGTACGACTCCATAATTTTTGTGATATGGTCCATGCTTTTTGAAAGCTTGACATCCTATATATGATTACGTGTAGATATCATAAAATTAATCATACAACTTTCAGCCAAATAATCAAAAAATTACTACTTTATATATTTTAAAATAAGAAAGACAAATAACAGAAAAAAAAACCTTCACAGACTTCTGATTTGTTTCCCCATACGAATTGTCATTGCAGTTGAATTTGCGTTTTTGCTTCCCTGATTGTTTACCACCATCCCTGCAAATAAAATATGATTATAATCATATATGTACGACTATAATAATTTCTTTGGAAAATAAATTATCCATTGAATGTCATGGCAGTACTTGTGGTGTCTTACATGAGAAATTGCCGAAAGAAGATAGGGGGCGAGAGAGTTATGATGATGTTTAATTGGAATTGCTATAACTATTGTTTGTTTGATATTTAGTAGCCGTTAGTAGATTTGTTGGTTAATAAATTTGTATTTATTAGGGATATTCTCCTTTGACTTGGAGAATTGGTCCCTTATATTTCTCTGAGATTGTTTCTTGATCACGTGAACAATCAAATTTTCACTTTTGAATTTTCACGTGAATAATCAAATATTCTATTTTACAAAATTTTCACTTTTTGAATTTTCCTTTTGTGAATATATTTCCTGCTATACGTATTATTTGAATAACATAATTATGTGAGTGAAAAGAAAAACATAAAAAACACGAGCATTTAGAAATCAATCAATATTATTTATTTCAATAGAATATACGTTTCAATACAATTAAACGATACAGATTTTGACATGTATCATACTTTGAAGTACTAATATTTTTCTTTTGTGTTTTTATTATGCAAGAATATCAATTTATTGGCAACTCAATCCAATGTAAAGCAGAGGTGTGCTAAATAAAAGTTGCCCCATGAATGGCCTTAGCCACATATATGTTAGATAAAAATTTAAGAATATATATACTACACAAGAACAACAGATGATAAAAACGCAAAGCACTTGGGTACAGTAGGAGAAAACACAATACAATTCATAGTTGATCATGTCTAATATAGCAAGAAAAGCAGGAATCAATTAACCATGAAACCATAGTTTATTCAAAACAAAACAAATGTGATCGGAATTCAGCCTCAATAAAAAGAATGTGGGAAATATCATGGGACATCCCTTTCATGGTTAATCTTATCAAGAACATGTTAGTATATATGTCTGTGTGGAAACAATACCACCCATTAGAGACGTCATTCTAATCAATGAAACCAAAGAACGAACCTATTCGTCAAAGTTATTCAGTTCGATTCTATTTAATTGATGGATTTATTTTTTGAATTAAGGTTCAAATAAAAATCCAATCGAATTTACAAAAAAAATAATAATAAATTAATAAAAAAATCCAGACTAACCTCTAATCGTCGTCTTCCATGGGTATTGCTCAGATCGATGTCCCGTTCGAAATTCTCTCAGTGGTTGCCGTTGAACCCACCCACCACCATCTATTTTCATGCCGTAGAACATAACACAAAGAGTGCCGGGAACACAAGCTCGCAGTACCCCTTCAGGAGCTTGAAAGAGTGGATCAATCACTATAGCAGGCCAAGCAGGGAAATGTTTCCCACATTTTGCCCAAACTATATCTTCCTTTACAAAATCGTCAGGCTTATAAAAATCAGTCTTCTTCTCAACCACTTTCACTTTCTCTGGTTTCTTCAATACTGCACTCATTTCCCCAACACTTTCCGCCAAGGGTGATACACTAGAAATCCCTTCATTAACTGATGTCACTGAACTCGGCGAACTAGAATAAGGCTATAAAATTATGTTTTTCAATTGGAAGCTCGACTTCTTTTCAATTCGTGGTTTCTTGACTAAATATACGTCATCATGTGATGCCGACTTATCTTGTCGTTTTAACTTCTTATTACGAGGCACAACCTGAGCATATTCATCATTGTCAACTGAACTCTTCAAATCATCACAACCCTCTGATTTTTCTTTCTTCCATGGATGCAAAACAGAGTCATTGAATTTCATAGGGAGTACCTGCTTACGCCCTCGAGAAGACTTCAATAGTGGAGGCTTGTTATTAACAGCCCTCTGAGCAACGGAATTTGCTTCGGCATTATCCAAAGAGCGTCCAGTGGAAGGGCAATAGTTTGAAAGATCAATGCTCTGACCTTCTAATTTTACTATTGGAACAGTAAAACATCGATCAGTTACCTTTGTCATCTTTTTACAATTAACGGCGGGGCTGCATGATTCCTCCACGTCGTTCCCACCCGTCACTTCCTCTTTCGCCATTGAGCAACGCTTGAGTTTCGGCATTCCAATTTTCCTCCGCCCCGTTTCCAATCATGTCCCGTTATCAATCAAATTCGCAAATCGGAAAAACAAACCTAGGGGCACCACAACAAAACCCTAATTCCTCTCTTCTCCACGGCAATTCCTTTTGTCTGAACCCAAATTGCTTTCGAATAAATCCTCTCACCGAAATTCAACAACAATATTTCGGGGGGAAACCTCTATACCGCCCTGAATTTCAACAATTAAGAACTCAAAACGACTTAATCCAAAAGACCCACCCAAAAAAAAAATCTCAGTGGTTGCCGTTGAACCCACCCACCACCATCTATTTTCGAAAAAATACTTGTATTGCGTCTTTGTCTGTGTGGGAAAGACGACAGTTCATTCATTGTCTGTACTCTCTGTAAACTATTAAATTTGGTTTTTAACAATTGAGTAAATATTTACTAATTAAATGTAAAGGTTAAAAATGTAAATTAGTTGAAGTACTATCCATGTATGATGGGAGTACAATGATTTTTGCTAGGCATGTACATTTTTTTAATATACCCTAGGGTCGTACATGGTATGTACATTAGATCAATGGACACAATTATTTATCAATTAATATTAACGGTGCAGATTAATTCTTTTATGGTCCGAGAAGTACAACCCTCTCGGACCCTAGACAACCCCAGGTTACATTTGTCTTTATCTGTATAACTCCTTTGGGATTGTCTGCAATTTTTTCAAAGTGATGGGCCTAAGCCCAAATATTATATATCCCTAACGTTCTGCTAATTATGCTATACTCGGTGAAATACATCGAATTATTTTTTATCGGTTGATGTATTGAAATAACTTCTCACTACGCATACATACACTGGATGTGTTTCGGTGTGTGTGATTGCATGGAGATCAACGATTAATAATCATCCGGTGTATTTCATCGTATGTAGTATTCAATAAGCCCACTGTGCGAGTGTTCATAGGGGAGATGGGCTTGGCCCGATTTTTAAGTATTAACCATTTGGCCTTTAAATCGAAGAGATTTTGAGCTTTTTTTTTGTGTTCATAATCTGTTTTTAGTTGTTTGTAAAATAAGTTTTTTTTTTCTTATATTAAAATAAGTTGTTTTAAGCTATAATTTGGAAAACAACGATGTACCTGTTTTTTCTAATTAAGTTGATATTCTAGCTAATTTGCATATATCATGAACTTTTAGGAATAAGCACTTGATACTAACTTAACTCACAATCATTAACGTATACTTTTAAATAAGCTTTTGCAAACACCACTTAGTAGATATGAAATTGACAGTGAATTTCTTCTTTTTTTTTTTTTTTTTTTGTGTCGTATTTATTATTTAACATATTCATTGTCATGGAGGTGGAAGGATGTTGGGCCTAATTTTATTAGGACTATTAAAAAATAAAATAAGTTAGCCCGTTTAATAGTAGGTCCGGGGCCCCGGGCCTTGTCATGTGGGCTGAATCCAAATTTTATAATTGTAAGTTCATTTAGGAAAAAAAAACAAAATTGTAAAAAATACAATAAATGACTTACACACTTCGTTTGGTTGCTAAGATAAGATTAATCAAGATTTCTGACAAAAAAAGTCACTTAAAAATAAGATAAACCATAATAACATAATATCTGTGGGTCTACCCGATAAATTATTTGAGATACCAAACATCAAACAAATTTCATTAATAATGGCTGATCTCCCCAACCAAACGAGGGTCGTAAATTTTTCCAGTTTATGATTATGTTGCCACTAATTGTTAGGTCATTTCAGAAGGATTCTCCTGCAATAAAATGTAGCAACTGTATAAAAAGACTAGCAAAGATACCCCACTTCAGTTAGTGCTATAGTCAACGCATATTGAATCTATAATTTAAGTTTTGTTGTCATCTTTCAAATTTAATTGAAGTAAACTAGTATTTTCAAACATAAAAAATACTATTTTATAAAAATTATATATATATTGTTACACATGTTTATTGACTACTCATATCATCAAAAGATTGTTTTTTTAATGAAAGAACTCGTGACGAATCATATAGCTGTATTTTAACAAAATTATATTTTCGTATAATAGTTTGCAATCGTACGAGAGATGTAAACTTCATCATGCTGACCATGTGTGACACATAGCAAGAGAATTCGTTGGCAAGAGAATTCGAACTTATGTTAGTTGACATGGATTTACTGCTCTAACCGCTAGATCATCTCTTACAGGACTCGTTAAAAGATTGTAGCATGATTTATCGGCATATAGTCCTCCTTAGAAAATGAAATACCAAGCATATAACTTTTCTATTAAGAAAAAAGAAGATATCTTTTATTGATCAAAGTGGAATGATGACACTCAATACTTTTTATTTGCTTAACGAGTAAGAATATGTAACAAAAATTATATTCTAACATAAACATTATTTATGGCATGAAATAATTAGTACTTTTGGTGTATTAGTCAATATAGTTGGAACTAATAAAATTTTATTGATTTAACAGAATATTAAATTTTCAAATTAATAATATAACATGTAGTCACCGAGTTTGAAGCGAGAAAAAATATTATTTAAACGAGGTTCTAGTGTATTTATATTTCAATTTAGCTTTTGTGCCTTTTGAAGACAAAAGTAGAGATCATCAAGTTGGTATCGTCCTTAAGTGTACTTTCTATTGTTTAATCACACACTACAATATGTACATTACATTTTATTCTATCTGATGAATCAATGTTTTTGAAGAAGATCTAGTACATAGCTTGATTAATTAACAACTAATTTCATATATACATTGAAAAACAATGTATTAAAAGGTGAAAATCACACATAACTACTCAATAATCGATTCCAGACTCTCACTATACTTTCGTTTAATAAGCATTAAATTCCAACTCGAATTTTGATTCGTGTTCGATTAAAATCAGTTTGAGTTGAACCACAACTCTTAAAGGCACTAGATAAAAATTCAAAAGAATTTACACAGTGATATACTCGACTTAACTCGTTTCTTTAACACACCGTACGTACTTGGTCTATGAGATGCTACATCTAGTAAAAAGCAGCGGACAATTTTGCACCATAATCTATTTTATAAACTGACCACTAAGGACATATACACATAGATATATGTGTATTATTATATCTAGATCAATAGTGCAGAATCATTCAGTATCTTTCATCTAGCGCAACATCTACAAAACCATATCAACTCGAGTTTGACCTTAAGTTGTAAATTTTATCCAACTCAAATAGTTACTCTCAATCCTTAAATACACCTAGACAAAGTAATTGACAAGAATAATTAAAAAAAAAAAAAACAATGGGGGTGGTCCACGTAAGCCGTTAAAAAAAGTTCAATGGGGTTAGTTATTCAGTAAATAACCAGTTACACAACACCACGTGACACACGGCAAAAGAACGGCCAAGATCTATCCGCCCACCAAAGATCGGACGGCTGAAAATCCGTCTCCAGTAGCGAATAGTTATCGACATGCGATGGACAGTAACCGTCCACGTAGCACATACAATCGCGTTTATTATAACATTTTGATCCAACGGACATTACATTCCCCTCTCTCTCTCTCTCTCTCTTCATTTGGAAAAACAAAACCCTCTGTAAAAACGAATTTTCCGGCACCGGAATATTCTCTCTCTCAGAGATTCTCGCCGTCTTCGTAGAAAAATTGTACAATTCGTATTTACTCGAAATAGCAGTCACCAAAAATAGTCGGCAGATTACCTAAATACCAAAACCTCTGTTTTTATTTTTTTGTTGGGGGAATTAGAAAACAGCTTTCTCTCACTTCGCCAAACCCTACTTTCTCTCTCTACTGCGTGTGTGTGTATATATATATTACCAAATTCACTTTCAGGAAAAAAAAATGGCGGATTCCGATAACGAATCGGGCGGGGGCGGGCACCGCGACCACAACTACCACGGCGAGATCTCTCTCCGGGAGCAGGACAGGTTCCTGCCGATCGCGAACGTGAGCAGAATAATGAAGAAGGCGCTGCCGGCGAACGCGAAGATATCCAAGGACGCGAAGGAGACGGTGCAGGAGTGCGTGTCGGAGTTCATAAGCTTCATCACCGGAGAAGCCTCCGACAAGTGCCAGCGCGAGAAGAGGAAGACGATCAACGGCGACGATCTCCTCTGGGCGATGACTACCCTAGGGTTCGAGGACTACGTCGAGCCGCTGAAAGTGTACCTCCAGAGGTTCAGGGATATGGAGGGGGACAAGAGCGCCATGGCCGCCGGAAGAGTCGAGAAGGATATCGGCGGCGGCGGATCCGCCGCCGCCGGCGGCGGAGATGGAGGGGGGAATGGCAGTGTTGTGAATATGGGGAACAGTGGGGGTGGGTATGAAGGGATGTATGGTGGTGGTATGAATATGATGGGTCATCAGGGAGGACCCGTTTATGGGTACGGGCAGATGGCGGGTACTGTACCCGGTAAAGTGGTGTCGGGTTATCATGTCGGACCCGGGTCGGGTCACGCCGGTGGTAGGCCGAGGTAGCGTGACACTTGCCAAACATGATTTTTAAATTTTAATTACTAGATTTTGTTGGTGATGATTATTGACCAAAGACTTTCAGCTTATTTCAAATATATGTTTATATATCGTATTAATATATATAATTTCTTCGTATAATTATATTTTACTTTATATATATAAATAAATAAACTTATGAAAAAAGAATTCGATTTGGTCAAGAATAGATTTTTTTTTTTTTAATTTAAATTGTTCAATTGTTTTTTTGTGTCTGTCTTGTCTTGTTTAATTGTTTTTATTTTGCCTCTATTTTCCTGGTTATAAGGGGTAGGGGTGTTTTGGTCTTTTTGTCGTGTTCTTGATTGATTGCATTTTTGTTTGGCATTGGACAAGTGGTTGTAAATACAGTAGATGTGGATATGGTCTTGTTTTTGTTCTAAATGCTTACTTTGTAATTAATTTTGCCTTTGGTATATTTATTTATCTTCATAGTTTTAAATTTCGAGATGCATCTGATAAACTGTCTCGTATAATAGCTCATAAATCGCACAACAGATGTAAACGGCATGTAGACCAGTGTGTCTTAAAATGAAATTGGGCAAATTACGGTCACCTTCGAGGTAAACTCAAATTACTAAAAAATATCTCATGTTTGAATGAAAATACCCCTTTTTCAGCAGATAGATTCGACACCATAAGAAAGGACATGCAAGGCAATACATCATTGAATGGTGATTATAATTACCCAAAACAAAAGAGTTTTCTCGTAATTTAATCTTACTTCAAGGATTGGCGGATGAAATTTTATCTAACTCAAGAATAAAATACAATTAATGGTGGTAGGTTTTAAGTTGATGGTCCACTAGATAAGAGAGAGTTGGGAACACATGTCAACGTCCTTTTTGTATCTTTCCGCAAGTGCTCCACTAACTTACTTTACATGATTCATCCATTTCTTCAACCATTACTACCTTCTTCCCTTACAGTTGCAGTTTATTTTATATTATATATATCATTATTATTAATTTATACACAAGAATACACATATAATACTTCTAATAAAAAATACTGAATAATTAATAAAAAAAAATAATAAATAACCATGCAAGTTAACAAAAGACAATCAAAAGTCTGAAATTATTTCCTCCTATTACAGGGTGATAATCATGAATACACGAGGAAGTAAAAAAGAAACGCTACGAATGTTATCTCGTCTCGTTGCGCACGCACAACAACAAGCCACCTTCAAACTGTTAAATTCTATCAACACCTAAGCAGTTAAACAACACTAGCAGCAAATAAATTACAGCCTTACTCGAAGAGTCGTGAGGGGGCGAGGAACAACTGCACTAACATAATCTAATATAAATTACAACACATACGAACCTGAAGAGAGTAAGTTATATCTATATATATATATTATATAGTGTACACCAAATCTCTCTTATGTGCGGTTTTTTCTTTCCAGCTGGCTAAAAGGTTGTCAGGCCTTGACACCTACGCTGGAAGGTTTCTTCTCGTTCGTCTTAGAATCGTCTTCTTCATCTTCCTCTTCATCGGCCTCCTCTTCAGCATCGGCTAGCTTTGTGAGCTCGTCCTGGATTATGCGCTTTATTGTCGGTTTTCTAGACGTCAAATCCATGTTGAACTGCTTAGCTGAAAGGGGTAAACATGTCTTTTTGTCATGCGAAGTTGTTGGGCAATTCAATTCCAATATCATTGAAAACTCAGTGAGAGAATAAAAGAGAAAAAAGGAAAGATAAGTTTCGGGGGAGTTTACCAAGCAGCTTCAGAATGTCCGTGAAGGTAGACTGCAAAATAGAAGTATATTTTGTATATCAGAAACGGAACAAGTCAACGAATTACAGAATGAAATTACGGAGAACTAATTCCTAATTTCACATTTTCTTTACAAAAAATATATTTTGTATATCAGCTTCAGAATGTTCAATCTTTTCAGACGAGATCAAGTCTATACCATGACAAAAATAATTCACTGTCCAATCTAGACGTTAAACATTTTAGAAATGCGTGTAAATCCACTACCTCTTTACCCAAAACCAGAATACATGAAAGAAGAGGGCTACAGAAACTTACCGTATTGAAATCGACCTCCTTGAGGATCTTATAAATCGCATTTCTGAGTTCATCATCGCTCGGATTAAGTGCCGCCTCCTTGAGCTTCTCTTTTACTTTCAGAATCTTCTTCCCTGAATTTGAACATAAACGAAAGAATATTCAGAAAACTGATTATATTCAGAATAAAAGGGAATAACTATAATCCTCACCAGCACTCTCCTTTGGAGAGGATTTCTTTGGAGTTGACGACTTCTTGATCGGTTCCTCTTTCTTCTTGATTGGTTCTTCTTTCTTCTTAGCAGAAGACTTTTTCGCACTTGTTTCTTCACTAGCGCTTTTTGGGCGGCTTGATGGTGATTTTGCTGGGGCTTTTTTGGGTGGAGGGTTGGCCTTTTTAGAGATGGTTATTTTCTTGGTTTTAGCTTTTTCGGAAGATTCCTTCTTTGCAGATGATTTTGCTCGTTTTTTCGGCTTTTCTGTGTCTTCATCTGACCCCTCTTCGGGTTCACTTCCTTTCTCCTCACTTTCAGCATGTTCAGACACCTCATCGTCCGATCTTTCAGGAGCACCATTAATATCTTCTTCTTTCTCCTTTTCTGATTCGTCTTCTGATTCAGGAGGGCTGTTCTTTGCCTCTCCACCCTTTTTAGACGAACCTTCACCTTTCTTCTGACTCTGAGAATACCAGAAAAGGGAACTGGTTAGAAGAGGTGTTTATATGCGACATCTTTTATTTATTCAAAAATATTAACTTCGACAACAGGTGAGCCTGGAAACCCAAATAATACTATCTTATTTGTAACCTTTAGTACTCATGTGCCACACACCATATGATTTAAAGCTACAGATGCAAATGCAAAACCTGCCGAACAACGACTCGGCATATGCGTTGCCTAAGGAGTATGCACATATGTGCGTGTAAGAGTGGCTGTGCATGCTAATCCGAGAATACCTAGTACAGTGAACTTTATATTTATGCGCGTAGTCATGTGTATGATGTAGTGATAATATATTAGGTTCAAAGAAGACAAAGGTAAAAGAAAATGCAAGAGCAAATTCAGGACATTGGTAGCAAGATCTTGTTTATCTTTTTAAATTATTAATTGCAAAATAAAACTACAGAAAGTAGCATAAAAGATTCTACACTTCTAGCTTTGAACTGAGAAAATTCAAAAGCGACGAGAAAGTACCTTCGCTGAGCCTTTTGATGGGGTAGCACTCCCAGATGCCGTTTTGCTGACCCGCTTTCTCTTTTTTCCCTTAATTGATATATCATAACATACATTCTTAAGCTAACTGAAGGAAGAAGTTTATATTGCCAAATAAAAACGGGGAAAAAGAATAGCTTAGTGTCAAACCTGCTCCGATTCAGCAAGCAAATCAGAGGTTGTCGCCTGAGGTTCCACCAAAAACTCTAACAACTTTGCAACCATATCTTCCTGGAATATTAAAAGCAACGAAAAAAATCCGATTTTAAAGCTCAGAGGGAAAGTTTGTCAAGGTGGTATGATTCGTGTGATAAATCAAGAGGAGCACACACTGTGAACTTGCATCATTTAATACGAAATAAACAAACCTTCCTCGTAGACTTGGTAATTGGTATATCGAAAACATCACAGAACTCTGCTAGTTTCTCCTTGACACACTTGTCAAGTTTTTCTTTGATTTTGATAAATTGTTTTTCCTGAGAAAAATGTTCATTTGAAACTTAAAGTTATAACATATTTAAGAAAGAGACAGAGAGAATAACAATCCAACAGCAAGTCAATGTTGAGCTTCTTCTTACCTCATTACCATGCCAAACAAACCCCGAGAATCTTAAAATGTTGGTCTTCACTTGAGCAGCCTGGACAACTCAAATAAGTATGTAAACAGATAAATATTCCAAAAGTTATCGACAAAAGCAAGATTTTTAACCTATTGAATCATATCCACTATTTAAAGGCTACCAGGTAACCAAGGTAAGGAAAATAATTAACAACTAATACTCGAACTTTACTTCAGTCTCAACATCAGCGACAGCAAAAAAAAAATTAATAATAATAAGAAAGGTAGATTTGAAAAATTATATCCAACAGTGACTAAAATATTCGTGGCAGACACTAAAAAATAATACTTTACTCTACACACAATCCAGAAGAGTTCAGAGCAAATTCTCGAGATCAGTAATAGACAAACAAAACACGGCCATGGAGTTTTATATATACGGGAATCTCTACACAACAAGTTTAATACTGGATGTCATGAGGTATATATAGATTAAAAGAAAACGATTTAGTAGATTATGGAAGAAGAAATTTACTGTTACTAAAAAAGATGCACCGAGTAAATGAAGTAATATAAAGAGCATACCCAAAACTAAGAAGAAGAACACTAAAGCTTTACCTTTCCTCTCCTTCCAAAAAGGATAGTATGCAGCAATTTGAAAGTATCTTCGGCCTTCTTTCTTGAAATCTTATATGCCACTGATAAATAAAAATGGTTTAGAAAATTACAAATACATTCACACTGCTGCGCAGATCAATATACTATGATCTATGACACATATAAGGCAAGCTTTAAATGAAATTGTCAAGAATATCGAAGTACATAACCAACACACGTAAAAATCAAAATTTGTATATTGAAAAGAAGGTTAGGAAGAACTACAGTTTGGCAATGACTTAGATAGATACACATAGTTATCACAAGAGCAGTTCTTAATGTGATTCCGAAAATCAGTGGAACCTATTTTCTGGGTAATCATCACTCAGCAAATGGAAGTAGTTATAAATTCCCGCCAGGCTTTGCTAACAAAATTTGAGTTAATGGAAACGAGGATTAAAAATTATCTCGCTACATATCCCGCCATAATCTAACAATGGAACACCCATTTTTAGCTACACTTATTACCTCATCATTCACTTTTTTATATTAAGTTTGTCCATAAACAAATCACTTAAGCATAACCAAGGTTTAAAAAAAAAGGAAAACAAGAGAGCAGATAACATAGTATATGATATAAGAAACCTCGCTACGGATCATTCCTTTATATATAAGGAGATAAAATTCCTTGTAATTAGTTTGGACCATAAATGATACTCTTCGTAACCCACTACATCTACAGAACTCTCCAGAGGGCAGATAATATAGTATGTTCAAAACACCGTCACCAATACCTACCCCCACCCAAAAAAAAACGAAAAAAAAAATTGTAAAAGAGGGAAAAGAAGTATTGTTAAAGACGTCAAAAGAACTACCAAAATTTCATCAAAAAAACCTTGTAGCATGACCATGCAGTTTGCACAGAGAGAGCAACTAAAAAAGTACAGCTAAACAGCATCATAAATATAGAACTTACTGCACATAGGCAAAACAAAAGGTGAATGAAAATGTGCAAAGAATGCATGAGATAAAGGCAACAGCTTTAGTTTAACACCGTACCGTTTGGGATATCTTTCAGTGCAGTTCCACGACCCTGCAAAATGAAAAAAAAAATCGCAAAAGGGTAAACCTCCACCAGTTTCATTGATAGATAATACCTCTACAGAGAACTATATGACAGAAATGGCGGAAAAAACAAAGTAAAAACTTAAAGACTGCACCTTTTCAATAAGAAACTCTCTAGAAGAGTCCTTCTCAATAGTCGCGACCAACCTTTCCACGGATTTTCGCTCACGTACAGGGCGATCAAGAGTTGAAGCTGCAGGTGTTGTTGGCTCCTTTTCCTTTTTCTCCACTGGGGTTTTAGGCTCTTTTTTCTTTTTCTCAGTTGGGGATTTCTGTTCTTTCTCTTCCCCTACATTTTCTTTTTTCTTATTACTGCCCTTTTTCCTAGCACTACTCTTTGATCTCGGACGTTTCTTCGTAGCTTTTTCTTCTTTAACCTCTTCTGGCTTTTCTTCCTCCTCTTCCATTCCATCAGCCTCCTCTTCAACCTTATCCTCACACTCTTCCTTGGCTTTCTCCTCAGAGTCTACCTCCATTTCTTCACTCTTAAGTCCATCCTTTCCTCCATCTTCTCCACCACTTTCTTGCTTTTCTTTGTCAGCTTCAGTCTCTTCCTTCCCTCCCTCTCCTCCTTCTTTTGCTACAGTTTCATCCTCCACCTTTTTTTCATCCTCGACCTTTTCTTCAACCTCAGCCTTTTCTTCAACCTCTGCCTTCTTTCCATCCTCCGCCTTCTTTTCATCCTCTGCCTTCTTTTCTTCATCCTCCACCTTCTTTTCATCATCCGCCTTTTCTTCAACCTCCGCCTTTTCTTCATCCTCTGCCATTTCTTCATCCACCGCCTTTTCTACCTCCTCCACCTTTTCTTCATCATCTGCCATTTCTTCATCCACCGCTTTTTCTACCTCCACCGCCTTTTCTACCTCCACCGCCTTTTCTTCCTCCTCCGCCTTTTCTTCATCCTCAGCCTTCTCGACCTCCTCAGCCTTTTCTATCTCCTCAGCCTTTTCTACCTCCTCAGCCTTTTCTATCTCCTCCGCCTTTTCTTCATCCTCTGCCTTTTTTTCATCTTCCTTGACTTCATTGACATCTTCTTTGTCCACATCCATTTGTTGAGCCTCAACTTTCTCATCATCTGCTTTATCTTCTTCCATTTCTGTCACTTCATCATGCTGCTTCCCTTTACTATCGGGTACTGTCTCGGTATTTTCCTCCACATCAGTCTTTTTCTCAATTTCCGTGCTGCCATTTGCAACAGGCTCAACCTTATCGGTAATTACATCTTCTTCACCCATAATAGCTAAATATGAGGTCTGTGCTACACAAGAATCTTTTCTTTTTTTCCCCTTTTTTTGCTAACGAACCCGAAGTACACTGAGGAAAAATTCAAACAGGTCACCTCCATATATCATCACAGCAGTTAATAGTAGGTGCGATAGAACAACAAAGGCTAATAATACAAAGTAAACAAGTTTAGATCAGAAGCATTGAAGCAAAATCCCAACTTCACATACATACGAAAACTACAAACAATTGGAACTGCAGCACAAGAATCAGACTAAGAGAGAACATATCCTATGCAAAATTCAAACGGAACAAAAAAAAATCTGCAAATTTACAAGTTCCTACACAATAATTTAAATTGCATTTAATTGGGGAAAAACGCATGCTTTCACATAAACAAGTCCTATATACCCTAGTAAAGATCTACAGCATGAAATCATAGAAATCAACTCAGTAAAAATCACAGAACTTTTCAAACAAAAAAACGCAACAAACGGTTCGAAATTCTCACAAACAACACGAAACCCTAACCTGAAGGAGACAATAATTCAACAAAACAACTCGAAAACCCCAAAAAATTAACATAAAAAAAACTGAAATTCGGCTCGGAAGCAAAGAGGTAACACGAAATTCGAACAAGATAACATGAAACTTACGGCGGAATTTCGAGATTTAAGTCTCGCAGCTCATTCTCCAACTGAAGTGGTTTTTTGAGAATCTGGTTTTTTTTTTTTCTCTCTCTAATTTATGTTTTCAGTTTTGTACTTATTAACACTTCGAACCCCAACCTCGCTTTTTCGGGCTTTGGGTTTTATAGCGCGGACTTCAAATCCGGATTTTAAATCCATTTTAATGCCATGTCGGATCGGGGAGCCAGACACTGGGCGGATTTCTAAAGCAGGACCAAAGCGAACGGCTGAGATCTGATTCAGCAGGAGCGTATTGACAACTAGCGGCCCAGATTTCGTACTCGTTTGAATTGTGCACTGATCCAGTTACCGTTGACTAATAGCACCACGTCGCTTTATTTGGGCCTGCCTTTTATATGGGCCTTTTTGTAATTTTACTTTCGGCCCAATAAGTTTGGCCCAAATCAAACTTTTTTATTTTGTCAGAATTGAATGAAAACGCAGTCGAACATCGATAAATTAATAATCTCGCTTATAAAATATTTTTTTTCCGGTCCCAACTCGGTAAAAGAATATTAAATTATTAGTTTGATAATTTAATATTTCGTTAAATTAATAGAATTTTGTTAGTCCCGACCTTATTAATTTAAAGAGGTTTAAATGTATATCTATATAGGGCAAATTATGGCCACCCCTGAGTTATGGTCAAATTATGAAAATCTCCATCTTATTTGGGTAATTACAGTCAGCTCCCTCAACTATGATTATGTTACAAAAATACCCTCCATAGGTAAATTTAAGGATGTAAAACCGAACCGAAATTTCAGTACGCCAACACTTCATACTGTTTATTAAACTGAATATACGATTTGGTTCGGTAAATAACCGAATTACATAAATTTTATGTAAAAATGTTTAAAAGATGGGGTGACAGTAATTACCCAAATAATAGAGTTTTTTTTTTTTTTTTGTAATTTGGCAATACCTCAGGGGTGGCCGTAATTTAGCCCTATCAATATAAGGGGTAAATAGCACTTATCCCCTGTGGTTACAAGTTTTTGCAGACGACTCCTTATGCTCGTAGTAATATCAGCATGTAACCCCCTTTGGTTTATACAGTAGCTTTCGTTAATTTTTCGTTAAAACTTAACCGCGTGTGTCAAATTTCAAATTTTTTTTTAGATGAATGAAATAAAATAAAAAATTTGGAGTTGCCAAATGGCAGAAATGAAAATCAGATTCTTCTAGGTTTAGGGCTTTGCTCCTTTTCCCCTCTTTTCCCCCTTTGTATCAAAGTCACTCCTTTTCATATCAGAAATTCGATTCGAACATACTTTTGGATTATGGCGATAAAGCTTTGATTTTTTTTCTTTCCGTCTGTAATTACTGATTAGTTGAACGGAAAATCCATGATCGGCAGCATCAAATGGACCCTTTCCCGGCGCAAACCACTCCTTCCGTTGAAGAAGATGATGAATGGGGTAGGTATTCTACCTTCTTTTCCAATTTAATCAGCAAATTTATTATTTTAATTTTAATTTCAATTTTGGTTTTGATTGCTTTTTTCTACATTCTAATTGGAAATTTTAATTTGCTGCGTACGTGTAATTTCTTGGTCGACTTAATCTATGGGGTTTAGGATTTTGTTCTGTTCAGTCGGATTTGAGTCAGTAAATCTGTCTGTATTGAAGTTGATTTTTTTTTCTAATTTGGATTATAATTTTGAATCAGAATTTTGTGCTGCTGCTGCCCAATTGAATTCTGGGTTTATTTATATTGTTCGTCGCCTTTACTTCTTTTCCCTTGATGTTTCTCGTATATGCACGAAAACTTCGTTCCGTATGTTAGTGTTTATGATGTTTCCGATGATAACTGTAATCATATGATTGATGATAAACATAAATGTTAGTTAAAAGTTATTTGACTTATTTATCTTGTGTTTGATTTGTTTTAGGGAAAAATTGTTGTTGATTATGAATCTGCCTTCTATAGAGTATAGAATCTAATCGGTAGCACTCTCATATAAACGAAACTGAATCTCTCTGTATTTTTATTATTGAGTAGTAGTTAAGTTATCGATATTGATGCATAATTCACTTGCGGGGAAGCGCGTGAATATTGAATAGCTTTGTTGGCCGGGCGCGGTCATCTTCCCGTGTTTTGATTGCTCCAATATGTCGTCTCAATAGATTCAGAACATTTCTTTTTTCTCAATTTGATGATTTAAATACTAAATCAAGTATGTTAACTTCATGTAGCAATAAATTTTCGTTTTTCAATGGACTTCAGCACGAGTCATGTGATGCGTAGTAAATGAGTGTCAGTAGAATCGACTCTCGTTTCAATCTTTATATTGTGAGATTTTGGTCTTCAATCAAAATGCATATTTCGACTGTCTATTTATACCAACCATTCTTATTTCGATTTTGGTTTTGCTAGATACCGATGGATATGTAATTCCAAGCTTAGAAATCGAAGAAGGCACAAACCAAAACGAAACTTACCCTTCGAAAGTAGAAGACTCCAAACTTTCCGAAGTTCAGGTACTACATAAAAAGTGTTCCGTTTCCAATTCCTGTAATAAATGTTAGTCGAAATTGATCTCAGTACGCCTCGTTTTTTGTAGGCCGTTAAAGAGGAGAGCATATACCTCGGGCCCCACGGAGCTCCTCCGTCTCAAGCGAAACAGCAAGAGCAGAACTTTAATACCCGAAAGCAGAAGTTTAAGCAGCAACTTAAAGAAGCTGATAGAAAACACAGCGGTTCTGGTCGAGAGAATAAAGTCGATAATTTAAGGGAACTTGTCGGTGGTGGAAAAATGGCCTCGATTGCACCCAACAGTTCTTCTAGAGAATGGCTCGACCCACATTGTCACGAGTCTCAATTCGAGAAAAGGCGTCTACATTAGAATTTTTTAGAGTTTTTTGTTTTTTTTTTCGGAATTTGGTGACGTAAGTTTTGGACTACATTTTATTATTATTATTTTCTTGCTTCTTGGATCCGTAACTGCTTCAATAAGGTCTTGAAATTGTACTGGTTAAAAGGTTTTATGTATTTTGGGGATAATTTGAATGCAAATTTTGAATTTAGAAATTTTTCACGTGCACGTGCGAGCATGATGAGGGGCCCCCACCCCCACAGAGACAATGTAATAATTCAAATTCAATGTCAGGTACAGTAATATAATAATTATTAAAGATGAAGCTATGACAATTTTGTTTGAATTGTGTACCTACCTCCTCATGTGACCTCTAGGATTTGTACTAACAAAATTGCAATGTCTAACGAGGTTAAGTGCTCGTTTTGCTAAACTTATTGTAAACTGCTGATACTTATTATTATATCTTAAATAAAAAAATAGGGTAGACCGTAGATGTACTTTAAAACAAATCTTATTTGCTCTCGAGAATCTATTTGTTTGAATTTTTAAAAAAAATATCAAACTCATTTAAAGAAATTATAAGTTCTTTTTAACAGCTTACAAGTTTCGCGAAACGCTAGTGCTTTACTTTTTACCACCGAGAAATTTGCCAAAGTAACCGACACCTTCGTGGGTATAATTACATGGAATGGTTCTCTAAAGAATTTTTAATGTATATTTTAGCCCAAAAGGAAATATCATAGATTCTTAAAGGGTAATTTGGTAATTACCAATTCACAAATTATATTTTTTCTTATATATTTTGGCCGCGCATGGGTATTTTGGGAAATTTGCCTTGTAAAAAGAGAATCAAATCGGCAACACTGTAAATATGTAAAAATATTTACTGCTCTGCTTTTTAAAAGGCCTTAAAAAACTTTCCCCGCAGAGATTCTCCGCCGCAGAGAGAGAGAGAAAGATTGGAGGTTTTGCCAGCTCAGCGCGATGGCGAAGGAAATCGAAGAAAAGCTTCTCAAATTCAAGTTCCACATTCTCTTCGCCCTAATTTTCAGTCTATTTATAATCTTCATCTGCTATCTTGCGCCGAGTTTTGTCGATATTATCAACTACTTCTCGCCGCTCCTCGTATCGACGGCGCTATTCCTCGTCGCCGCCGTTGTTTTCGACCGGATTTCTCCGCCGTCGCCGGAGTATCCCGGCGAGAAAGCGGGCGAGGGGTTGTTGGACTACGTGGCCGGCGAACTGGTGGCCGGAGGCGGAGTAGTGCTCGTTGCCGAAGAAAAGATAGACGAAATCGTCAAAACCGAGTAACAAAAAACGTACTGCTGTAGTTTTTCTTTTTTTCTCTCTCTAACGCTTTTCTCTGTCAACATTCATGAATTTTCATTTTTGCTCGTAGAAAAAGGATTTAATTTAAATCTTTATTTATTTATTTAATGAGTTATTATTAAATGAATGGTGATGCCATTTTTACTTTTTATTTGCACTGTTATTTCAGGAATGAATTAATTTGCAAATTAAGGATGAAATATTATTACACAAATCAAAGTTCATCGAATATAACATAAAACTGAAACCTCGTACTATTGTTTTGATTCTAATAAGTCCTAATAATATTCTTGTATGTTGTAACAATAAATAACCCATAAACATTTTACTCAAAAAAAAAAAAAAAAACCCATAAACATTTTACTCAAAAAAAAAAATTGTGTATAATAGCATTAATTAATGGCCCCCTTCATAATTTTTTTAATGCATCCGGTCCTCTGGGAATTAAAATCCTGGCTCCGATAGTGACAGTAAAATAATCGATTTTCATATTTTTATTATTCCCAAGACGAACTCCATATTAAAAAACTTATCCAAATATACATCAAACGACGATTACTAGAGTATACAACAAACGACGGACGTTTGAATATACATCAAACGACGACGATTACTACAGTTAATCCTGCTTAACTGGCTTGTGTAGAGAGAAACCGAGTTCCTCCATCGGCACAAATGTAACTCACATTTCATAGGTAAAAAAAACCAGGGGGAAAAACACACTCACACAGAATCACTTCTTTGTTCGAACTGATTGAGCTAGAGTGACGTCACATAGGGACAACGTACCAGATTGATCGACATCAAGGTTTTCGAACTCGTCCATCAGAACCGATATATCTTCTTGATTAATCTTTCCCATCTCCTTCAGCTTATATATAACGAACTCCGCAGCCCTATTCCACATACATCAAATCATTAATAAAAAATAAAATAAAAGTTAATTACACAATTAATCCCGAAAAAAAAAAGAAAAAGTCACTAACCCCACTGATCCGTCGTCATCAAGATCGGCCGACTCCAAATCCACATTCGTCATCTTCCTCGTAAGAACATACTCGATCAATTCCTTCTGCTTCTTCTCTGTATTGAACTCAGCTATATAGCACAACAACTGAGCCAAACAAACGGTGCTCGTCAAAATCCAGACTATAGCGAAAACACGTCCATATTTCGTGGAGAAGCTCTTATCTCCGTACCCCAAAGTCGTCACGGTCGAGCAAACGCAGTAGAAAGCATCGACAAATTCCAACTTCTCAACCAGCACTAAGAAAACCGTCCCGACTGTAATCAGCACTACGAGAAACGAGAAGGTCATCAAACACTTGTACCTCACTTTGTTCGTCTCGATCTCTTCGAGAATTTCGGCGGGGCCCAGTTTCTCGCGCATGTGCATTGCTTTAATAAGCAGCATTTCTTGCTTTTCGACGAGATAGTCCGCTCCTTTGCTCAGCGTTAGGCCTACGAGAGCCATTCCGGAAAAGACGAAAGCGCATGCGAGAAGCTTTGTGGCGGCGGTGTTGGGTACTAGGTCTCCGTATCCGACAGTTGTCATTGTCACAATGCAGAAGTAAACCGAATCGAGGATCCCGTCGATTTTGTCTCCTTTTATTTGGTTTCCGACAAAGTAAAAGCAAGTTGTGCCGATGGTTAAGTAAAGGAATAAGTAAATACCCACTTTTTTTATACTCGGGTGTATTTTATCCCAAAGGTATTGTGAAGGTGGTGGGGCCGCTTGAGAAGCCCCGTTTCTGGGCTTGATTTCGCTGGGAAGATAATCGGCCATTGGAGCACTTTTGCATCGGCGAAATCTTCGCCTTTTAGGATCGAGTTGAGATGCGGTGCTTAATAGTTTTCTTGATAAGGAGTTTTCGATATCATTTTCCATTTCGAACGGTAGAGAAACCCTATGACCAAAAAAAAATAAAGAGTTCGTTAAGAGGAAGTACATGATCTGGAAATGCGCTAAGGTTGCGTTTGGATGAGACGATTTTGGTAAATGGGATTTCGAATGACCACAGATAATATGGATTTGAAATCCAATATATAACGATTCGTAAAATAATGCAAAATGAGAAATAAGGATACGGAACCTATTGCAAAATTGATACATCCGAACAACTTTGACAGATTTGACTACAGATTGGAGTCACTTCAAATCATCAAGATTAGGATTCATTGCAAATCCCTCAATCCAAACGCAGCATTCCTAAGGCTGCGTTTGGATCGAATGATTTGAAATGAATCTAGGTTGAGTTTGTATTGAGGGATTTGAAATGAATCCGAATGGAAGGATTTGAAGTGAAATCCACCAAAATTCATTTCAAATCCGTCAATCCAAACGCACCCTAAGGGATTTGAAATCCACCAAAATTTCTCAAAAAGCAACTAAAAATTAGGGCTATAGATTTAAAATCCATTGTCAAATGACTCATTCCAAACAAGCCAAATGAATTTGTAATTATAGATTTGAAATCCCTCCCTCAAATCCTCCCATCCAAACGCACCATAGATAAGACTGAATTCAAATCCAACATATCACGAAACTCGTAAAATAACGCAAAAATCGAGAAGTAAGGAGACGAAATCCATTTGCAGAGTAGATGCATCCAAACAAGTTCAACGAATTTGTTATTACGGGATCCGATATTCTCCCCTTAAAATCATTTGATCCAAACGAACCCTAATACAGTATTTCGTGAGAAGAATTACAAACAATGCCAAATCAATTACTTCGAACAACAAAAAACACTAGCTAGTGGCAAAAACGACATCGTTTCACTTTCATATTTCCGAGCTAAGACAATCAAACAGAGTTGAAATTCCGTAAGCTCAAAAACTCAGGCGCCAAAAAAATTCACCCAATCAAAAATTGAAAAAAAAAACACCAAATCGAGTAAAAACAAAATCACTAGCTACAGGAAGAAGAAAAACAAAACGTCGTCGTTTCACTAACCGGCAGAATTGTTCGACTCGGTTGCGTTCTCTCCAGAAATCGTGATTCGTGCAAGTTCTACGGTAATCCAAATCAATGGCGATTCTGTTTTTTGGATGGAAACTTGTTCGGAGAAAATAAATATATTAATTAATTAAAAAATGAAAAGGGGTTGACATTGATACTTTTTTTTGTTCTTTATCAATTCACACTAGTACTAAGCAGTTGGGTACTTGGGTATATATAATGAATACACGGAGCTCACTCGGTTTGAATTCAAAACGGTGAAATTACAAAAACCACCCCTAAACTTAGGCTTAATTACGAAAATTACCCCATTTTTCATAATTATCAAACGTGATGTTTGTTTATCTTACACCGACCGACCCCATATGGTCAGTGGCAGATTAGACAACATTTTAAGGGGGATAATTTTATAGGAAAAAATAAGGTTATAATTTTGGAGATTTCAGGGGCAGCGCCCCAATTTTTTTTTTCAGGTTATTCACAAAATATTGCTAAAATAAGTATATATTTATAATTTTGCAGTAAAAATATATATTTTTTATATTGTAATAACAAATAGAGAAAGAATATCTAAAATTACGTAAAAGAATATAGAAGAAAATAAAAATAAGGGGGGGCAAAAACATATATTTGTATAATAGTATGTCAAAAAGAAATAAAAAAAAAAGTTGGAATATTTTTTTTGGGGGCGGCTGCCCCCCTCCCCCTTAGTAAATCCGCCACTGCTTATGGTGTTATTTTTCACGAATTTTTTTTGATGTTAGGGAATATTTTCCAACGGGCCGATTATACTCAGTGGCGGAGCCACCCTTTGGCAAGGCCGCAAGGGTGGGCTCCAGCCCACTCTCATTATTTAAAAATTTATACTATATATTATATCTATATATAATTAGCCCCCCCAAATAGTTTAATTTAGCCCACTCAAGTAATTTAGTTTAGTTTATCTATCAAAAAATTTATGTTATATTCGTTGAAGTTTATAATTTGTGGTTATTTTATGCTATTTTATGTTAATGAATATAAAAAAAATCGGGGGCGCTGCCCCCGAACCCCCGTCAATGTTAAGCCCATCCACCCAAGTAATTTAGTATAGCTTATATTAGTTTAAGTTTATAAATTTGTAGTTATTTTGTGCTATATTTTTATGTAAATGAATCAAAAAAGAAAAAAATCGGGGGCGCTGGCCCCCGAACCCCCGTTAATGTTAAGCCCACCATGTCTCGAATTCCTGGCTCCGCCACTGATTATACTTCTATAGTCGTGAAATAAAATTTATGCTACTTTTTAAAGAAAAATATTATCCTCGTAAAACTTTTACACGGAATATTTATTCTTCTTAAAAACTACATTCACAACTTTTGTATTACCATTACATCTCTAAGGCTAAAATTTGCTTTTAAGAGGTAGCGTAAATAAAATGACATGTATGTAGGAGTAAAATCGTCATTTTTTAGAAATATTCCTTGGAATCAAAAAAATTATGTTAAAAAATAAACTATAAGAGGGTTGAAATAAGACGGAAACAAACGCTAGAGTATTTTCCGTAATTATATATAGATGAGGTGTTTTCCGTAACTAACATGATCAGTTCATGTGGATTTCGTAATTTGCCCAATTTCAAAACTACTAGTGGACAAATTGATATATTGATATAAATAAACATGTTAGTAATCGAAAACTTAATTTATTTAATTAAATCACGGTGGACAATTATCAATTTAAGTCAAACTCATAAAAAGACCTCCATGATGCATGTTAATTAAAAAAAATTACATGTGATTATAACCTAAAAAAAATATGCTCAAATTAATAAATTAATAAAATAAACAACAATTGCTTGAGAACCATCCACATACTGTTTGAAAGATGAGTTATCTTTACAAATTAATTAAAAATAAGCATATTTTCAAAACATTATAAAAGTAATGTCTTTACATTTCTGTAAGTTTGACCATAAAACGTAGCAAAAAATTCGGTACGTTTCATAATCAGAGGGTGTGTGTAACACATCCCATAATTTTATGGGTGCAAAGTGAATTTTGCCACTTTTATTATCCCAATATTATGGGTATTGGGCCATCTTAAAATATGTCATAAAATAGCTTGGGGCTTTGAAATAATGGGTGGACTGCTTTTTTTTACGTGGGCTTGTAAATGTTAGATATACAAATGAATGTAATAAAAAATACGCAATTATTTATTTAAAACGATTTTTTCTTTTACAATATTCAAGTGAATAGAACCAAATAAATTAAAAATTAAAAATTAAATAATACAATTTAAAGCACTAATGCACAAAATGAAGTGAATTGATCTAAGAATCTAATACAATCCCTTAATGGATTCAAGAACATATTAATCGAATAAATAATACCTTAACTAACGCATCGTCGGCACTAATACACATGGCAATTACATAATCATTAATAAATACAAAGATTCATTTTCTATGTTACACTAATTTAATTACTAAAAATATACACTTGGACACAATATTTAATAATTTTTAAAAGACCCCATAATTCATTTACACAAGTTGCATTACATCATCATCCTCTGTATCAATTAAGCTATGGAGCCTTATGCAGAAGCAGTAATTACACCATTTATTTTTTTTGTTTCGATTATTATTTTATATATAGCTTTTAATTTACTCATTTAATTTTGTATTAATAGTTTAACTAATTTCGCATTCTAATATATTTTTATTTTTTATTTTTTTTGTAGAGTTGTGTTTTGAAGGTGAATGTTCATTGCCAGTCTTGTAAGATGCATATGCTAGAAGTTCTTGGTTCAGTCTGTGGTAAAATATATCATATCAACATTTAAATAATTATTTTATATATATATATATATATATTAATAATTAATTATTAGTGGCATTTTATTTCATATTTGATTAGGACAATTTCTAACAAATTTGTTTTTAATTTGTTTGGGATTTTATTTTATTTTACAGGAAAATACAATGTGGACATAAATTCTGAAGAAGGGTTAGTGAGAGTGTACGCATTAGTCGAGCCGAACCTACTATTGAAGGCCTTAGCTAGAACAGGGTACCACGCGGAGCTGAAATCGGTCAAGCTCCGCCACCCGGACGTTAGTAAAAACTATTACTACAATAGCGGATACGACCCGTATAGCCACGGATACGGGTACAACAGCTATGGATCCATCGAAGACCCGTATAGCTACAGTCGGGCTTTACCCGACCCGTATTCGTATGGTTCGTATGGTGGACACCATTCAAATTACTACCCATCGACAAGATCCATGTCTCCGTACCATCATGGGTCGAACCTGTACCATCACGGGTCGAACCCGTATTACTACGGGTCGGCCTACCCGCAAGCAAGGTACGTGCCATCCTACCCACCCAAAGAGTACGACCCGTATGCTGATGAACCGACCAATTTTTGCAGTATAATGTAGTTGTCGCACACGTTCGATTTTTCGTTTTATTTGGATACATCGTACTTTGAATATTTATTAGTAAAAAAACACTTCCCTTTATATATGTGAAATAATGATATCTATGGATTCTTTAATTGATAAATGTTTGGGGGCCACGGCCCCCTTTCATATCCTATGCTGACTCCGTCACTGGGTGCAATATATTTGCATTTATTAAAATTATAGATTTATAATTGTTGCAAGAGTTGATTTTATTTGTTGATTTTTGATAGGTCGATGTATTCACATAGGAGGACTGGACCATTTCATTTCTGAAAGATTTGAAGAGATTTATTTATTGATTTTAATACAATGTTGGAATAAATTAAAAGTTCTTAGAATTTTTTTATTAAATATATACTCTCTTGTTACATTTTATTTGAATTTGATGATTGGTAATTTACATTTCACTTAATAAATAGTCTAATTATTCTCTTGTGTAATTATTTTTAAAGAGGCCCAAATGTTTTTATTTATTTGCTTATTATAAAGTTTAAAATATTTTTATTGCTCATGTATTATTATTAAAATACCTTAATAAAAACAATGATTGAAAATTGAAAAAGAAGTCATAACATGCAATGTTTTCAAACCGGACCGGACACGAAACCGGCTATACATTCGGGTCACGGTTGAACCGGTTCAATCGGGATCGACCCGGGTTTTTTAATTTTAAATTATTTATTTATATTTAAAATTGATTATCTTAATATAAATTAAAACATATTTTGATCCTTAACTATCAACATAAAATTAATTCTTTATTTTATCTATTAATTATATAATCATATTTGAAACACAAAGAAAATTAATTCTACAATATAAATGATAATTAATTATTTAATAATATAGTCAATATAAATTACTAACTCAAACCCTAATTTAGTTCTTTGTGCCGTCTGTTCATCTTTTGCCTCTTTTTCATTCCATTCAACAATGGTGCTTCCCCTACCCAACTAAATACACATAATCAAATATTTCACTAAATCTGCAGCAAATCGGAAAACCAAACATTATTCCCCCTCCGCTCCTTTATGTTTCGATATTGAATCCGGTTTAACCCGGTTTTCAACTGGTTCAACCGGCGGTTTTCGCGGTTCAATCGGCGATTTTTCGTGGTTCAACCGGCTCTTTTCCGGTTCCAAATTAACTGACCCCGGTTTTTGACTTTTCCGGTTCTTAGTGTCGAACCGGACCGCGCCATCACCGGGTCCCGGTTGAACCGGTCGGACCGGCCGGTCCGGTCCGGTTCCGACAACATTGATAGCATGTTTAAGTGTTTGGTTCTTAATATATATAAGACTAACTAATGAAAATTGTTTGGTTTAAGTACTGTTGCACAATGGGAGAACTAATAAATAATTTTTCAATTAGTCGAGATTAGAGCCATTTTTCCCACATTTATAGCTCGATACAAAAACTATTGGACTAATCAAACATATAGTCTAAGGGCTCATTTCGTTAGAGCTGATAAACTATTACATTTGATAATCTTTTTAAAGAGGTGATATGCTACGTCTTAATTTTAAGTTTAATTTTTAAAGTGTTTGAATAATGATTTTATAAAATATTTTTACTCATTATAAGATTTTAAATTAAAAAAATGGGGTAAATGTACATTAAGAAATTTTTTTTTAAACACTTTTTTTTAATGTTGAAAAAATCTTATTTGATCACCAACAACTTATTTTTTGCAATTTTAAGATCTTTTTGAAAAAAAATACAAACACTTTGAAATAGCTTATAAACTCTTAAACATCTTATAAGCTCTTTTTAACAGCTTATAAGTTTAGTCAATATCTCTTTTCATATTCAATAGCCCATGATTAATCTCATTATACTTGGGTAATATTAACTAATATTCCAAAAAAATAATTGTGTATTTATGGTTTTATAATTATGTAAAAAGTATTAAGGGCAACTTACGGCCACCCAAAGGTGTGGCCAAATTACGAAAAAACTTCGTTTTTTTGAATATTTTTACATAAAATTTATGTAATTCAGTTATTTATCGAACCAAATTGTATATCCAGTTCGGTAAACGGTATGAAATGTTGGCGTAACAAAATTTCAGTTCGATTTTACCGATTTAACATCCCTAAATTTATCTACGGGGTTTTTTTCGTAAGATAATACATAGTTGAGGGGTAGCTATAATTAACCAAACAGAAGGGTGGTTTTCATAATTTGACCATAACTCAGAGGGGTGGCCGTAATTTTTCCAAAGTATTAATAATAATAAAAAAAGGGTATATTTTACTTTACCCCCTTGTACTTTGGCTGGATATCACTTTATCCCATTGTACTCTCAATTGCATCGATTTGCCCCCTTGTACTTTGGTTCGATATCACTTTACCCCCTTCTACTCTCAATTGCATCGATTTGCCCCCTTACTTGAAAAATTGTCTCAATGTGGCCCTCGCCGTTAGTTTTCAGACCTATGACCTTAACACTGTTTGATTTAAGTATGAAACTTACTAAAATGTCACCCCTCCAGTTTAAATAATTATTAAAAAATAAAAAAAATAAAAAATAAAAAAACAACAAAAAATAAACAATAAAAAATAAAATAATAAAAATTTCAAGACAGCGAGAAAACATAGTTCACGACGCCAGCCACAATTTTATTTTCTTTTATTAATAATTATTTAAACTGAGAGGGGTGGTTTTTTTTGTAATTTTTAAACTTAGATCAAACGGTGTTAAGGTCAAAGGTCTGAAAACTAACGGCGATGGCCACATTGAGATAAGTTTTCAAGTACATGGTGGCAAATCGATGCAATTGAGAGTAGAAGTGGGTAAAATGATATCGAGCCAAAGTACAAGGGGGGAAATCGATGAATTGAGAGCAGAAGGGGGTAAAGTGATATTGAACCAAAGTACAAGGGGGCAAATCGATGCAATTGAGAGTACAAGGGGGTAAAGTGATATCCAGCCAAAGTACAAGGGGGTAAAGTGAAATTTACCCTAAAAAAAACCACTACCCATTCCCACCAACCCGACCCGGAACCGTACCCGACCCATTATGTATAAAAGAGGCTCCACATTCCGTCCCGCCGACTGTTACTATCCCCGTATTTAAGACATGCAACTAAAACCCTAAAAAAAACCAACTCTTAAACCCCAAACCTCTCTCCTGGGAGAAGTTTTTTTCACGGAGAACCATTTTAAGAACCTCAGGAAAGAGAGAATTTAAGAGAATAATCCGAAGGAGAATTTGAACAACTCTGCAAGAGTACTTGATTGTAAGTTTTGAGTAATTTTTATTTGATTATCATCAGTTTTTTTTTTTTCAGTAATTTTTGTTGGATTATCATTAGTTTTTCTTTTTGAGTAATTTTTATTGGATTATCATCAGTTTTTTAATTGGAGTAGTTTTTATTGGATTATCACCAGTTATTGGATTCTAATTGACATTTTTTCATTGTTTGATAATTTCAGTTGCTGTATTCAAGTTTCTGGATGGCGGTTGACGGGAGCTTTTCTCTCGAATCGGAGCTGCGGAGGTTTCTCCACAGGTGCCCGAAGCTCAATTCGGTCCCCTGTTTGGATAATTTGTTGAAGAAGGTGTGTGCACATTTTTCAAAGATACGTTTTTTTTTTTAATTTGAAGTTTTGGTAAGTAGAATACAATGATCACCTGAATTTTCTTCGTTATGATTTGAGCGATTTAGGGGGACAGAATCACAGAAGAAGAGGTGGTGCTAGCTGTTGGGCAATTGGTTTTGCACCCAAATTACACAATCCCTTTGTTGGGATGCTTTAGGCCTATAGCACAGAGAATTGTGGAGAAGACAGTGGGGTTGCTTCATATGGTGCCGAATTTGCGGGCAGACAGTGATGATTATATGGAAGAATTCGACGAAGAAGGGTTTCTTAGAGAGGATGAAAGTGTAGATTGTGCAGAAATAGTTAGTATTATTGATGTTTATGTCGTAAGGGGGAAGTGCTTGCGTCTTCACGAGCTCGCATGTCTGGCCTTTTGCCGAGCTCTTGATTTGATTCCTTTCCTGTTGGGGTAAGACAATTCTTTTTCGGTTCTTGAGTTTCTACGTATCACCGTTTCAATTTTTTTGTTGTTGTGATTATTTTGTTGTAATCGTAAGATAAGCTTTATTTGATTTTGGAATGATATTTGATATTCTTGAGCAAAAACTAGTTGCATTTAAAAATAATGTTATTTGGGGCATATGATGCTAATGAAATTATATGACAGAAGTTGCATGTTCGATGGAAGAACATAATGTCAAAATGGAGATGAGTTATAGAGATGATATTTGGCACCATTTCCTTCTCTGCACTAGTATAAGTTATAACACCTTTCTTCTCTGCTGCAGGGATATTTTAAATTATTTTAAAGCTGCTCCTGCTCCATTCGAAAGAATTAAGCAGTGCACATCAGTTTCAAATGCATTAGCTACGGTAAGAGCATCTTCTTTGTTTTATTTTGCGATTAATTTTTTTCGGTTGGGTAGTCAGTGTATTTGCAATCATCCTTTTACTTCTCATGATTGAGATCTGCTCGGAAGATGCTTGTCAGCACTGTGCTATTTATAGTCTACCTGCAAATTGTTGGTGGGGGAGTAGGAAAATAACACAAACAATCTTAGTAATGTACCATTTCACATGGGAACATTGTCAACCAACATCAATGACACAATTGCCTCATTTATATTTTTGTTGAGTAATCAATCATTTATATATTTTTGTTTGGGGGGGGGGGGGGTTCAGGTCATAGAAGTTGACTTAGAAAGTAATGTCGTTTACTGTTCCAACAGCTCTACTTCTCTTATTACAGATTAAGTACCATTTTATTTTCTGCAACTTCTTTTAAAGCTTCATCTGTGTCTTAGGGACCAAGTCAATTGTTAGATGTTGCCCGAGCATCTTACCGTTTTCTCATATTGGAGCCGGAGGTTTTCACGACGTTGTGGGATTGGTCGTGTATCTTGGAGATTGTAAAGCAGCCCGCGGTAAATGATGCTGTTTCAAGAAATATTATATCGGACCTGAGGTGGTGCAGCATCGGTATTTTGAAGGTGGTTTTGAGGTTAAATTTTACAGCATCTGCAAACCTTGGTCTTGAACCTGCAAACCGTGGTCTTGACTCTGAAGAAGCTCTTCAAAGTTATCTTCGGTAAGCTTACTATTTATTATGAAGTCTTACAATGGGAAATATATTTCCCTATGGAGTTTGTAACTGTTCAGAAGCAGAAATCATCTTGGTGTGAAAGAGGGGAATCATGGAATTAATCCAATGTTTTCCCGACAGTATCTAGTTATGTGTTATATAACAAGTTGACACGAACTTGAGTTTTATATGTTGTGACAGTACTCTCAGTATCTAGCAAATAACTATGCATTGTGTAGTCAGGACGTATAATAATGGAGAAGTGCCATTCACGTAGTGTTTGCGTTAATAAATATGAAGTGTTTTTTATTTTATACCTAAAGCTCAGAAATTAAGTGGTTTATGAAAGAAGCCAATTACATGGAAAATAGAAGACACTTGCCACTGAAAAGGAAATTGTTTTGTTAAGTTTTGATACAGGTCTATTTTTTCGGTTTTCGAAATTGTAAATATTTTATGGGATTTGTATTTTTATCCTCTACTATTTATTTTTCTTGATTGTATATCTCTTTCCTGTTTTCCTGTTTGGAGCTGGCAAGAATTTTGTATGGATGTATCATTGGAGAAAGGTGGTTGGTATCTTGAGTCGTCTACCGAAGAAGTTGAGGCAGTGGTAGGAAGAAATGCCAATCGGAGAGATGGTGGTTCTTTGTTCAGATGCTCTTCAATGCCTAATGAGATAAACCCATCAAATCAGATTGGCATGTCGGTTACCGGGTAGGTTTTATATAATTGTAATAAGAGCTATCATTTAAATTTTTATGTAGTTGATGGTTTTCTGATCTAGTTTGCTCAGAAGTGAGTTTTCATTGGGAATATATTTGTTCTTTCTATATGATGGTGGTGTTGTTTAATTTGGAATAAGTAAGTTATCAAATGGTGTACCTTCTTTGCTTTGAGGTAGATGTCCGTTGACCTGTTATTCCCTTGATGATCTCATCTAATGCGTCTGTTGCAAGGAAATTTGTTCAAATTTATGCCATCCTTGCATGGCATGCATCGTAATTGACATTCTGGACCTTCTTGTCCTGCAGAAAACCTGCGACTCCTTTTATTTTGACGTCTGCTATGACACAAAGTTTTGAAATGGCCTCTTTGGCTGTGAATCAGAGGTGGCCTGTGCTTCTTTATGGTCCTCCTGGTTGTGGTAAAACTGCACTTACTAAGAAGTTGGCCCATGGTTATGGTAGTAGAGGTATGTCTTCTAATTGTTGCTTTAACATGTCCAGTGACTTCGACTTACTGGGTCTTGTCATCATTATGAATGTATTTACTTAGTGTGTGTATTGGCAGTCGTCCGAAGTCCATCTCACTTGGGTATAAACTATGAAATGTCCGTTTCTGGGAGCAATTTTGATACTTACTCTGATTTATAACATAACCCAACTTGATGATAAATGGTTTCTGGTTCTAGGAAAGTACTTCATAACTTGTTTGAAATGTTCTATCATAATAGAGTATAAAATGTCCATGTTTCAGATAAAATGTGTTCGTGTTCCACGTAGGAAGTCTATTAATTGAGAACATTGTAAAGACCAAATTCCAGACAGAACTATGAAATGTCCTTGTTTTTGAAATTGCATCTAGTAAAGCTTCATCATGTAATTTCTTTATGCATTCATAGAACCTTTTCTGATTGTTAACATCTACTGTCGGACAAAATAGTTTTATCCATTCACATGGACGATCAGATTGATGGAAAAACACTGCTTGGAAGTTATGTCTGCACTGATCAACCTGGTGAATTTAGATGGCAACCTGGTTCTCTTACTCAGGTTTGTAGTCAGCATATGGTTTAAATTGCTCTGCCCCATGATATCTTTTTATAACTTCAATGAGATATATTTGGCAGGCTGTTCTTAATGGTTTTTGGGTTGTCTTTGAGGATGTGGATAAAGCACCACCTGACATTCTATCAATCTTATTGCCATTATTAGAAGGTTCAGTTACTTTCTCAACTGGCCATGGCGAGGTATATACTTTCTGTCTTTTGTCTCTGAGTTCACTAGAATGGGTTTAAATAGTTACATATTGCATTATCGGAGTCTGTATGCTCAGTTTTTTTTTCAATGTTTGGTGTCTGTTTTTTCACTTGTGTTCAACATCGTTTGATGTGCTTGAAACAGTCGGAAAGATGTGTTCAATTTTAGTGATTATACCATTATCATGCAGGCAGTGAGAGTGAACAAGAATTTTAGGTTATTTTCCACCGTGACAAGCTCAAATCCAGACGCATCTCGGTTTATTGAAGGTTTTTGCTTTGCTTTCTTTTGTAGTTCGGTTGTTGCATATATATATATATATTTTATGTTAGTTTGATTGGACCTATAACTTCTTTATGCGTGTCGAATGAGAACTCGTGAAATGTCTTCAATTAGATGCTTCTCAATCATGCCATATAGTCTAGTTAACTCAGTTCTGTTTATAAAAAAATGCTATTTTAATGAACTTAATTTTAGCAACTTCTTCTGTGCTCCGAGTTGCCAATTGGTCTCTTTCCAATGGATGATGATACTTGGAATTTGAAAATTGTCAAGAACCATTCATTGTGTCATTTACTAAAAAATTGCAGTATTGTATTGACAGACTATCTTCTTATGGTTTCAATCTTGTTTGTAATATTTGGGTATGCTGTTATATATGTTTTTCCATAATTTGCACTGGCTCATGATTGGCAAAGAACTTCATCTCAGTTAGTTATCTTTATGTATTGGATACCGACTGATACTCCTTGGGAAGATCTGATTCTTGTCCGTCATTTTCATGAGATTATACTTGTGTTTCATGAGCATTCCTTGTCTATGATTATCCTTAAAATTTTCTCAAATGATATCTCCCTCGTAAACTATGCCTCCGGAGATAGTGTTATACATCAAGGCCGTGAATAAAACATGGTTATATAACTATGGTTTTCTTATTCTTGTGACAAGGTGATCTATTTTGCTATATCTGATCCTCCTGGAAATAATAGGTAGGAATTCACTTGGTGCTGTTTGGCGGAAGGTAATGATCGGCCCACCTAGTAAACAAGACTTAATACAAATTGTGCTGAAGTGGTACCCAGACTTGGAGGATCTGGCACAAAAACTCACAGGTGTGCTGAGTTGTCTTCCGGTTCATGACTGTCTTAGGCTCCTTATGACAAACATTTGTTCATTATTTTTTCTCTGATATGTTCTGCAGAAACCTTTGAAAGTGTGAACGAACTTGCGAGATCCCAGTTGGGATTCATAGCTTCATCCAGTTATAGTGACAGATTCACACTAAGGTAGACAATTTGGTTAGTGTAATATAATATGTTTTATATTTTTTGCAAGAAGTACTAACTAAACCATTTCTCTGCAATGAAAGAGACCTGCTTAAGTTGTGCAAAAGAGTCGCAAGTCTGGGCTCTTTGTCTGGACAGGAGTTATGCGAGAGTATCTGTAAAGAGGTTAGATAAATCATCGTAATTTTCTATATTCCTCATTTAGTGAAATGGTTCCGTGAAGTGCTTCTCTGTAAGTTCGGGCTTTTGGTTTTCAGGCTATAGATGTGTTTGCATCCTTCTCCACTTCAGTTGGAAATCGGTTGGCTATCATGGAAAAGATTGCTAAGTTGTGGATGGTTGTGGCCGCTAAAATTTTGTATCCTGTCAACAAGCCAATTATCAAGGTATCACTTCTATAATATGATGGCATTCGTGAAGTTTGTATCAACATGTATGTCTCTAGACTTTTCTACAATTTTGAATTTCTGTGCAGGAGTTGAAGTTTGAGTTTCAAGTTGGACGGGCTAGGCTTCAACATGCTGAAAAAGCTGTGAGTGAATGCGCTTGATGTATATACTCTCTATATGGTTTATTGTTTTCAGAAAAGCTATGTATGATCTATTATTGATATTGGCAATCCTGTTTCCACAGTTCAACCGCGACAGGAAGCCCTTTGTTGAGCTACGTGCTTCTATACATGCTCTTGAGAGGATTGTTTGCTCTGTCAAATTTAATGAGCCTGTGCTATTAGTTGGTGAGACGGGTACTGGGAAGACTACTCTTGTACAGACTCTTGCCACGCGGCTCGGTCAGAAACTTACAGTTATGGTATGTTAAGAGTTTATATCCTTTAATTTCATTTCTATAAATTGTTTGACCACTTAAGAGTTCAGATGACTATCGTAATTGTTATGTCTGTTCCAGAATTTAAGTCAGCAGAGTGATGTTGCTGATCTCTTAGGGGGATTCAAACCTATGGATGCACGACCTATATGTCTTCCACTTTATCAGGAGTTTGATAATCTATTTACTAATTCGTTTCCGTCCAGGGTACCATCTATCACCATATCTCGCTTCTACTTCTCCATTGATGCTCATTAATGAGTACTAATTTTGTATTTTTTATTTAGGCCAATGAAGGTTTCATTATTCATATGAGGGAATGGTTACAAAAGAAGAAGTGGAATATGTTGTTAAATGGATTTGCTGAAGGTGTCAAAAAGATTGTTGAAATTGGAAAATCAAGTTCTGGCAATAAAAGGAAGAGACCGTTAAGTGAAAAGCTACTAAGGGATTGGGAAATTTTTTCGAATAAACTTGAAAGAGCTCATGCCCAAGTTAGCGCATCAAATGGAATGGTATTTTCTTTTGTCGAGGGAGCTTTTGTTACTGCCTTGAAAAATGGTGAATGGATATTGCTAGATGAAGTAAATTTGGCTCCTCCAGAGATCTTGCAGCGGGTTGTTGGGGTCCTTGAAGATGAGAAAGGCTCGCTATGCTTGGCTGAAAGAGGTGATATAGATTATGTTTGCAGGCATCCCGACTTTCGCATGTTTGCTTGCATGAACCCTGCAACTGATGCTGGTAAAAGAGAGTTGCCAACTTCTTTGAGGAGCAGATTTACGGAATACTTTGTTGATGATATGTTGGACGATGACGACTTGGTTTTGTTTATTAATCAGTTCATGGATGAAGATCCTTCATTAAGAAGGCTACTTAGTGAAATTGTGAAGTTCTACAAGAAAGCAAAGGAATCTGAAGAAAAGCTGCAGGATGGGGCTAACCAGAAACCTCATTACAGTTTACGTTCTCTTTATCGGGCTTTAGAATATGTAAAGAAGGGTAAAACACGTTTTGGATTCGAAAAATCTATTTATGATGGGTTCTGTATGTTCTTTATGAATTCATTAGATGACACTAGTGCAAAGTTGATGAAAAGCTTAATTTGCGAAATTTTGCTGGGAGGCAAAACACCTCAACCACTCCCTTATCATTCCTACTTAATGGATAGAGATAAGTTCCAAGCTGATGGTGTTTTGGGGAGCTATGTCTTAACAGAGAGTGTCGAGGAGCATCTTAGGAACCTTGCACAAGCAATTTTTATCCAAAGATATCCTGTCTTGTTGCAGGGACCCACTTCTAGTGGAAAGACAAGCCTTGTTTGGTTTCTAGCTGCAAAAACTGGTCGTGAGTTTGTAAGAATTAATAATCATGAACATACTGATCTCCAGGAATACCTTGGTTCTTATATCACTGACACAAGTGGAAAGCTCGTTTTCCATGAGGGGGCACTCGTGAAAGCTGTTCGCAAAGGTCATTGGATTGTTCTTGATGAACTTAACTTGGCTCCCTCAGACGTACTTGAAGCATTGAACCGATTGCTAGATGATAATAGGGAACTATTCGTTCCTGAACTGCAGGAATCTATTCGTGCTCATCCAAATTTTATGTTATTTGCAACCCAAAATCCACCTCTTGCGTATGCGGGCCGCAAAGTACTGTCTCGAGCATTTCGTAATCGTTTTGTAGAGATCCATGTTGAAGAGATTCCACTAGGGGAGTTGAGCACAATTTTGGAGAAGAGGTGCAAAATTCCTAAAAGCTATGCGGGACAAATGGTTGATGTCATGAAGGAGTTGCAATCGCACAGGCAAAGTAGTAAAATATTTGCTGGAAAACATGGATTCATAACCCCACGTGACTTGTTTCGGTGGGCTGATCGTTTTAGGACATACGGTGAAGACCTAGCTTATGATGGTTATTACTTAATGGCTGAAAGGTTGCGTGATGATGCTGAGAAAGCGGTTGTTAAAGATGTTTTGAAGAGGAAGCTAAGTATCAAACTTTCTGATGATAACATGTACAAACAGGTACTATTTGCTTTTTGTCCCAAATCCCGACAATATTATCCATTTATGGATATACATATATCATAATTTCAGAGCCGCATCAACTATTTCAGAACTGGAATATTGTTTTCACCATCATATTCTACCTTGAAACTGTTAAGCTCTCTAATTAATTGGTGAAATTCATATGCCAGCATGCATTGATCTCCACATTTAGGAAGAACAGCTATTTAAGTACTTTTGAGTTTGTGAGAAGAGATAACTTACATATTCTCATGTATACATATCTCCTAATAAATTGTACTTCCTGTTTGCTTCCTGCTTGGGATGGTAGCTTTTAGTTTAATGTCAAGTTAGTTAGTTTAATATCAACTTGAACCGTACTTCCCTTTGCAAACAAAGGTTTGTCCTAGAAGATATCCTATGGGGAAGAGGGTGACAATGTTTACCTTTGTATTTATGAAGTTCTTTAGTATAATTAATCTAATTTTAGCATTTAGATCATATGATGGCTGGCTGTTTCTAAGCTGTTTTAACTTAGCATTCATATCAAATGATGGCTGATAGTTTTTCAGTGGGGTTTATAACATGAAGTGAAACAGTAAGAAATGGCATTGAAATTTATTTTCTCCCCTTCCAGGATGGGAAAGATGTAGATAGCACTTTGAAGACCAGCAAATTCTCTGTGGATCCTGAAAACATTGAGAAGTAAGTATCTTTTTGATTACTGATCTTGCTAGCTATCTTCTAGAAGTACTTCAGCTCCTTCATTGTTTTTGCTCTCTTTTTTCCCAGAATTATTTGGACAAAAAGTCTTTGGAGAATGTACTTTCTGGTCGAGCGGTGTTATAAGATGCGTGAGCCTGTCCTGCTTGTTGGAGAAACTGGTGGAGGGAAAACCACTGTTTGTCAATTGCTTAGTATAATGTTGGGTTCCAAGTTACACGTGTTGAATTGCCATCAATACACAGAAACATCTGATTTTATTGGGGTATGTCCTTCCAATTTTACTTCCTCTGTATAGCTTCGCATTTTCATGCCTTTTTGTTGCTTCTTGCTTTTCATGACGTGGACTCCCAAAGTTGCAGAACGTTAATTTTGTGGTTAACCATTGACCAGGGTTTTTATCCCGTGCGCGAGAGACCACAAATCAGTTTGGAATTTCAAAAGCTTTGTGATAAGTTGGCCCAGTCAGGGGCTTATCATCATTTCCCTGAACATGCTGTATGTTGATCTCTTGTTATTATACTTTCTGCTTGGGTTTTCTTCAGGTGTTAATTGTATTTTCCTTTCTGGTGATGCATTTCTGTGCTGCAGAAAATTTTTACGGACATCCACGAGGCCTCTAAGACTCTTAAGATGCTCTCTGGGATAATCAAGAGTTACAAAGACGGTTCTGTGATTCATGCTGAAGTCACTGTCAATGAAATTAGTTATATAGAAAAAATATATGTGGATATGTGTGAGCTACAGCAGAAATGGCAGACGATTTTTATGTGGCAAGATGGTCCACTTGTTGAAGCAATGAAGAAAGGTGACATGTTTCTAGTGGATGAGATTTCTTTGGCTGATGATAGTGTTCTTGAAAGATTAAACAGCGTTTTGGAACCAGAACGGAAACTTGTGAGTAGTGTGTATTTATGCATTCTTTGATGCATCTTCTGTGGTTTTCTTTCTGTTTCAATCATCATTATCTCTTAGATATTTTTAAGATGTCAAATTGGGAGTTTTACATTCTACAATGTAGATGGCTTTGTTATTTGTATTTATCCTTGTTTGATATATTGGCCGACATGTGCAGTCCATGGCTGAGAAAGGAGGCTCTCACCTTGAGAATGTAGTTGCTCATCCGAATTTCTTCCTCCTAGCCACAATGAATCCTGGTGGAGATTATGGTAAGAAAGAACTATCCCCTGCCCTTCGCAATCGGTTTACGGAGATATGGGTTCCTTCTGTTAGTGACACAGATGAGCTTAAAAGTATCGCTCATGAGAGGTAAGTTTGTCTTACTAAAGTTTGTGTTTCTAAAGGAAAGTTAGTCAATTTAGTACTTCCTATAGAATTTATACTCTCTCCTAAATGCAGAATTTTGGATCCCGAACCTGCTCATATTGTGGATGTCATGCTGAAATTTTGGGAGGTATTATGTTTTACCTTCTTTTTTGTTATTGCCAGATTTATCTTTAATAATTATTGGTTATTGTAAACGTGCTGGACAATCATGCTTGTGAGATGCATTTTTTCCAAGTTATTTCAATAATAGTTTCATTATATTTGGTTGCATCTTGGATCCCTTTGCCGTAGTTTTCATTAGGCGAATTCGTTTTCTTTTAATGGTTTTTTCAAATAATAATGCATTAGCTTCATTTTGAAAACTACCAGCAGTAGTGTAGTTATCTTGTACACATTCGGTGGTATGAGAATCCTAAAAATCTTTGTTTGTAATTGAACTTTTGTTAAACTTCACTTCTCACTTCGGTTCTAACTGTCAGCATTTCTCTTGCTTTGTAGTGGTTCAACCTTTTACAGACAGGGAGACTACTAACTGTGCGAGACCTCTTGTCTTGGGTCTCTTTTATCAACGTGAGAGATAGGAGCTTACTGGCTGAATCTGCACTTGTACATGGCGCATTCCTTATTTTGCTGGATGGGCTTAGTTTGGGTATATATTCTTACCTGCCTGCAACTTATGGTTTTGTTCTGTATAAAATATGTTGTTGTTCATTATCATCTCTAGTACATTTAAGAGAGCCCTATTTTCTATGATATGTCACTTCTATGTTTGCCCCCGTAACAATTATACTCATGATGAACTGTCGGGTATTTATGGGTATGAGACTGGAAACTCTCCAGCTCTTCCGTGAGAGTGAGGTCAAAGGAAGTGTAAAGTAACTCAATTTGTTATAATTTGAGAGATGCTAGCAAAGTGCAGGAAATATTGCTCTCTGATAGGTTCAGTTGTACGTACCTATATTTCTTAATTAGTCTAGAGTTGCTTAGGGAGAAAATTTTGTTTTCTTATTCTGGTAATTGTTAGGGAGGAAATTTGCCATAAATTCTTGGTAGTAGGATTGTTATTGCTTTGTTGTATATTTCTAGTTTTTAGGGTCTCTGGGTTGGTGGGTAACTTCTCCTGGTACCTGTTGGAGCTAGTTACCAGATTCTCTGGGTTGGTAAGTAACTTCTCTTGGTACCCTTTAGGAGCCAGTTACCGGGTTTTTTGGATCTAAACAAGAGAGGTCAAGTCACACCTAATGTTAATGGCCAGCTGAATGCTAATGGGGCAGTGGCCCTTTTTAATGTTGGTTCACCTGGCTTTTCTGCCTCCTATGTTGTTAGTCACGCAAGAATCCGTTGTATAGGAGTTTTCTGATTTCTTCAACTACCGATAATGGGCAGGTGATGGGCTAATAGCCTTTATGAGTAAGCATTGTTAAAAAGATTCTGGGGGAATTGGACCAATTTTCTTTCTTTGGTTGCACAGTGGTGTATTGAGGAATTCATGTCCTTGATTTTGTACTTAGTTTTTATCAGTTCTGAGTTGTTGTACCCGCAATGCAGTATATTTTCTTATCACATGTTGTATCTCTTTTGCATCTATGTTGTCTTCGTCCTCAACTCTCTTTTCTTCAGGTACAAATATATCAAAAGTTGAAGCTGCAGACCTGAGGGTTAAATGCTTTTCTTTTCTTCTGGAGACACTCAAGGTTGCTACTTTAACCTGCACATATGAATTATCTGCTTTGAAATAGAATTAACACGAGTGTGAACTCGTCCTAAATACCATAGAACCTTCTAATTGTTTATTTGATCAACACTCTTGGGAGATACAGAGAACGATAATCAGTCAGTAGAGGGTCTGAGGGTTTAAAGCAAGTCTTGCTGCTGATTTAGTAGAACACATATTTCTTTCAGATGTACTCAATGATACTTCAAGTTTGTTAGGATTAAGGAATCAATATATAAGCTATTGTGTGTTGATATTTCCTATGCCATTTCTCTTATCGACTGATTAGTTAATATTTTTTTGCTGTGCATTTAATTTTAGTTGATTTGAATAAAGTACGTGCTTCGTTAATACAGGAGTATAACACGAGTCTCGATCTCTCAAGTCTTGGTAAACTGGAGTCTTATGGTTGGTCAGATCCTGGAAGCTTGTCAGTTCCAAGTAATACTACTGATGACATGGAGTGTGATAGTCGTTTCGGAGTGCATCCATTTTATATCGAAAAAGGTATATGTCTGGGATATTTGTAAAAAATATTTGTTTGCAAACTTGAATATTCAGAGTAAAGTTCAATTTTATATCTGTTGAGATTGAATGAAGGTATTTGAACTTGTATTTTCTATTGAGTGCAACAGACGGGCTTTCTTTCTGCAGTGAGGTTTCGCAGTTGCTGGTCAATTATATTTATTCGTGATATTTGGTTGCTTACACATGATTATTATTTTGTCTATATCTGATGATGCAAGCTATATTTTGTCTTAGTGAACTGTCATGAGCTACATCTTGTAGTTAAGCTTTTCTATATTTGATGAATCTGGAAATATACGTGCCATGTCTTGGCATCTTAATGCAAGCAAAATGTTATCATTGAAAGAGATAAAATGAGTGTGGCCTGTTGGGGGAACGATTGGGGTGGGAGGTGGTTAAAAACATGGGAGGTTTTATGTATGAAGACTTGTTGGTCTTCTGCAAGTTTGTGATAAAAACGATGGATGCTGTGTGTGTTACCTTTCTGTAGAAATAGGTGAACTAGGCAATGATATGCATTTGACGTGGCTAACACGTAACTCTTGAAGGAATGTTACCTGCCAATTGGTTGTCACATCTTAGGGAATAAAGTGTTAGCCGCATTATAACTATTGTGCTGTAGATATCTCGTCGCAGCTGGCAATCTATGCTATTGATGAGGCTGAATTGACTTTGGCCTATTGCTACAGATACGGTTTTGTATCTTGATATATTTGTTGCAATAAATATTCTATGGTCTACAAATGCCTTTAAACATTGTCAAACATTTTGCTCGTGTCAGTTTGGTACTAATTGATTTTTCTTTCATTTATGACTTCTAATTGAACTTGTTTAAGTTACTTGGGCATATTCGTGGTGAATTTACATACTTTACCGTGCAAGTGACCTCATTATCTTGTTTAGGTACTGAATGTATTGATGCTCATGGATTTGAATTTCTGGCCCCTACTACTCGTAGGAATACCTTGAGGGTGCTTCGTGCAATGCAGCTTAACAAGCCTGGTATTTTATCTTTTTGAATAATTTATTTTGAATGTGTTTTGAGTTAAATTAAGGTCCAGTATTGCTTTTCTTGTTTGCTAATGTCTTTTGGTTTTCACAGACCTTTAGTTTTATTGATAATCTGTGGCAAATTCTAATATTTGAGGTTTTCATGCTTAATAGTTTTGTTGGAAGGAAGTCCGGGTGTTGGGAAAACAAGTTTGATTGTTGCCCTTGGTAGGTTCTCCGGACACACAGTTGTGCGGATTAACTTATCCGAGCAGGTTAGCATATCTTCTTTGTCGTGATATGTGCAGATTTTGTTTCCTCTGTTGCGGATTCTTTCATATCAATGCAATTGGTGTTAAACATTCTTAACTGGATTTTCATGCTGCAGACAGACATAATGGATCTGTTGGGGTCAGATTTGCCAGTTGAAAGTGAGGAAGGAATACGATTTGCCTGGTCTGATGGTATCTTACTCCAGGTAGGAAAGCCTGGTCATTGGACAAATTTCTCCTTTTCTTTTTATCTTTTGCGTTATTTATTATTTCTTCTTTAGTTTTCAGTATGAAATATTTTCTATTGCTATGTCAGGCTCTAAAGAAGGGATCATGGGTTCTGCTGGATGAACTTAATCTTGCACCGCAATCTGTCTTGGAGGTATTAGTTTATAGCTGTCTGCATTTGTTACCGCCCTCCTGATTTAATGCCTCACTTCGACTTGTTTTCCTGTAAAACTTGCCACCATTCATCACAGTATTGATAGTTTCTTTAGTTACATTGACCCCTAGCCTAATTTCAGTGGGAGAGACTGAAGTATTTGGTTCAAGATATATAACTAACTGCTTCAGTGTAGTTCATCTAATGATCAGTTAATTTCAACTGGAAAAATTAACTGACTGTTAGTGTGGCAAGAAATTTTGTCTTCCACTTGATAATGTTTTCATTGTGAATGAAGTTGACGGTTTACCTATAAATATAGGGCTTGAACGCTATTTTGGACCATCGAGCTGAAGTTTTCATTCCTGAGCTGGGGCAATCTTTCAAGTGCCCGACATCCTTCAGAGTTTTTGCATGTCAAAATCCATCCTATCAAGGAGGTGGCCGGAAAGGCCTTCCCAAGTCTTTCCTCAACAGGTTCACTAAGGTGTGCTCCTTTACGCCTTTTATGTTTTCTTAAAAACACTTAATAGTGCATTTCCAGATATAAATGTTTCACCTTTATGATTCTAAATTAATATCCTGTCAACTCCCTATTGGTTCAGGTCTACGTTGATGAGCTAGTTGATGAAGACTATGTTTCCATATGCAGCTCGCTTTATCCATCAATTGAAAGATCTCTTTTGTTGAACTTGGTCGTGTTCAATAAAAAGTTACATCAGGATACTATGTTGTATAATAAATTTGGTCAAGATGGTTCCCCATGGGAGTTTAATCTCCGTGACGTGATCCGTTCTTGCCAAATTATCCAAGGTGTCTATTTCGTTTTTTTTCCTTTTCTTTTTCCTGATACGCTTATCTATTATTTGCTTCTAAATATTCTATGAAACTTTTCAGATGCCTCCGAAAAGTCAAAATCTTACTGCTTCCTGAGCTCCATTTACCTGCAAAGAATGCGAACGCCAGCTGATAGGGTAGAAGTTATGAAGTTGTATGAACAGATATTTGGGCTGGAGCCGTTTGTAGATCCATACCCTCGAGTAAATCTTAATCCTGATTCAGTGATAGTCGGAGATGTTGCAATCGAAAGGTCTCTGTGTCAGGCATCAGGGATATCCAGTAATAACCTTAAAATTCTTCCTGGCTTACGCCATTGCTTAGAAGCCATGGGACAGTGTGTAAAGCATCAGTGGTTATGCATATTAGTTGGTCCTCCATCTTCTGGTAAGACCTCACTGGTTAGATTGCTTTCTGAGCTGACCGGGAATGTACTGAATGAATTAAATCTTTCAACTGCAACTGATATATCTGAATTACTTGGATGCTTTGAACAATATAATGCCTCTCGTCACTATCATCTCGCTATTGCTCGAGTTGAAAGATATATGAATGAGTACTGCAACTTGCAATCGGAATACTCCCCCAAGTCCTTCATTCGGAGGAAGGATCTTACTACTCGATGGCTTGCGTTCCTATCAAATATAAATAAATCGGCAACCTTAATAGATAGCTCAGGGATGAGAGATTCCATTCCACGGTTAGTTGAAATAATTGAACATCTAAAGCTGGAAGTTGACAAACAAACACTGTCTTTATCTTGGTCTCAGATAGATCTCGACAGCACTCTGAATATGATTAGGAAGTTGGAAGAAGATCATCAGAAAAGGCAACACTCTGTCAAGTTTGAATGGGTTACTGGAGTGCTGATCAAGGCCATAGAAAATGGGGAATGGATTATTTTAGAAAATGCAAACCTCTGCAACCCAACGGTTTGTAGGCTTACTTTGTGATTTTTTGTGTTTCAGTTTTTAATGTATTTGTAAAGGTTAAGATTTTGCCATATTTTGTTGCATGCAGGTTCTTGACAGGATTAACTCGTTGGTCGAGCAATCTGGATCTATTACTCTTAATGAATGTGGAACTGTGGAAGGAAACCCAGTGGTTGTTCACCCCCATCCTAAATTCAGGATGTTTTTCACTGTTAATCCTAGCTATGGTGAAGTATCTCGAGCAATGAGAAACAGAGGGGTTGAAATATATTTGATGCAGCCTTTATGGTTGGTAGACAAGAAAATTGGGAAGAGCCTTGATGAAATTGAGCTCAGAGAAGTGAAGAGATTTATTGTCCTCTCTGGAATTCCTGTGGGTAAGTTGGTTCAAATGATGGCCAAAGCCCACATTTATGCCAAACGTGAAGGATCACATTTTGATGTAAGCATAACATATCTCGAGCTTTCACGGTGGGTGCAGTTATTTCAGAGGCTCATTACAGATGGTAACCGGCCGACTTGGAGCCTCCGAATTAGTTGGAAGCATACATATCTTTCGTCTCTTGGTGAGGGGAAAGGAAAAGAGATTGTTTCACAAGCAGCTGGTTTTTATTTATCAATTTCAGAACTTCGTGAATTCACTTTGTCTGAAGATTGCCTGCTATGTTTACCCGGAGGCTGGCCAGCACCCTTGAAGTTAACAGATTACATCTCTTACTCAAGAGAGGCTACTGTTAGACAAAATATCATGTATTTGGAATCAATGGGATCTCAGATTGCTTCTCGTATGTATAGTGATGCCTTCAACAGAGGTTCAAAGGGAAAACCTTCTCTTATAGGTGGGTCGAGGATGATTCATCTAATGGATGCTACAGTATTGCACAGACTAATGTTTCCTCAAGATTCAGATGTTATGCTTGTAAATTGTGGTGCTCAAAGTGAACTGGAGTTGGTTTTAACCCAGCAGAAGTTATCATTCGCTGCTGATTGGGCAATTGAACAGGCTACTGAAAGTGATTTTAGGCTCTACATCTTGTGGTTTGAGTGGTTTGGTTCTAGGTTGCAGCCATTCTTTTCATTTTTCAATTGGTTTTCAGATTTACTCAAAAAGGAGCTGCAACATTCTATTTGGAAGAGGATATTTCAGTTACAGAGTGCGTTTATGTCTCCAAGTGCAATTGACAAAGATTCCTCATCTCTCCCAATACTCTCAATGAAATTGATTGATGTATACCCATGTGTTGGCCTATTGAGACGTAGCCTTCAACAGTGGAGCAAAGAGAAGGGGCACAATCGTGATTTTAAAACTCAACCTTTTGAACATGTTCTAACGTCCTTGCGAAGATTGGAGGGAAAAGTGCTTGACTTTCTTGTTGAGTCACCTTCTTTTGATGTACTTTTTAAGTCCTACAGTGATCTCCTTGACCATCATATACTCTTTTGGAACAGTCTCATCTCATCTGAGACCGAATGTCGGTTGATCTCTTGGCGCTCTTTATTGAAGGATGTTGTGAAACTGCGGGGAACTTTTCCTGTTGAAGTGGATGAATTTCAGGCAAGTTGTGGCGGTGAACTTACTATTGACTTTCCTTTTTCTTATTCCTTCCTCTTATATGTCTTGTAGTTCAACTGTTTCTAAACTTCTTCTGCAGACTGATGTTAGAAAATTGGCTGGTCTTTCATCTTTGTGTTTGAACTCAAGCAAGTCGTTGCTCTGGAAACATGGCGGACATCCAATTTTGCCTTCATCTGCCAACTTATACCAAAAACAGTCCCAACTTTCAAACCTTTGTGAAATGGTGTGGCCAAGAAAAAGCAAGTTTATGGAACTAGGTATGTGTTGTATAGTACTTTCATAAAAGGTTTATGATGTATGCTGCATGGACCTGGCATGGGCGTTGAATATGAGCATGTGCTAAAGTACTGTGTTCATCAAAGCTTAGACCAATATTGCCTAAGCTCTCAATCCATATTCCATCTTGTTATTCCACTCTGTAGAGTCAGATACTGGTACTTGACCGAAAATGGTCGATGCATCAAATTTTGTGATGTTATATTAAATTATTTTTATTATAATATAATATATTACCTGCGACTGGAACTGTTTTTGTAGATGGGAGTGACTCCGACAAAGTTACAGTAGATGTTGCACTGTTTTCTGATGTGAAACTTCGAGTCCATGCAATGGAAGGTAGATTCTCATGTTCTCCAATAAATGTTGGATTTCAAGTTGATTTTCTTAGAACCATGTTGTGTGCATTTGCAGCTTTATTTTTCTATTTATATTTTGTTTATGTATGTATAAAGTTATAGAATACAAATGGCCATTTGAAGGGTCCAATCATTGAGAAACTTGACCAATGCATTTTATTTTTTAAACAAAGGGGTCATGATGTGTTCTGTTATGTGGAGTTTGTATCAAGATTTTGTTAAATTCATATATTTCAGTGCCTTCACCACTGAATGAAAAAGTAGTATGAGCTGCTTTGCTTGTATTTTAATCTTTTATTTTTTTCTCCGTGTTCCTCTTTTCCTTCCTTCCTATTGTCCTTAGTAAGTTATAAAGCTAAATTACCTTTCATTTTTTACATATATGCATGTCTGCTTTCCTGCATATTTCCATTAATAAAAACACTTATCCACCATCATTTCCCCAAGGTCTAGTTTTCACATGTGCGGCGTTATGCATTGCTTTCCTGCTTGATTTTGAGGAAATAGTCGTTAGGGAGTCATATCTTCCTAAATTGCCTGATGATTTGTAAGCCTTGTCATCTGTACTATTTAATCTCTGAAAGTATGCTCGTATGTATCTCTTAAAATGGGAAAGACAATGGAGAGAAGTATAGTTGTTCGGTGCATTTCAGATGTAATGGTTCTAAATAGATTTGCTGACATGTTTCTGTCACCTGATATTGAAATCATTGTTCCTTCTCTTTAACTGAAATCAATTCCCTTTTCATTTGGTTTTTGTATTTCTTGAAGGAATTTGCATGTCGTATATCATTAACAAAGCTGATGATAATGATTCTGAAACTACTCAGAGACTGGAAGAAATGTATCAGGTATATATCCTCATGATTTTCTGAATTAGGAACCATATGATAATATCTGACGTCAGCCTGGTTACTGGTTCATTCCCTCAGTTGCTTCTGGGAAGGTTGAATTCTGACAAACAGATGTTGGTAGTGAAATCAGCATCTAGTAAACTTGCATCTTGGCCATCACTCTGTGCCGAATGCTGTGTCTTTACTCCTGATGTATTGTATAGAAGGTCTGGCATCAAATGTTGGCTAAAGACACAGCCTGTTGTTGATGAGACAAGTCTTTGCCTTGATTTGGAGCTACTGCAGCACCTTACAAAGATTGTTGTGGTTGACTCTGAGAAAAAACACCATGTATGACATCTCTCTTTTATTATACTTAATGTTATTTGTGATCCTACTTACCTTTTCTAGTCTTGGCTTGACATAATGGTTTGCGGAGCATCTTAGATATTTAGTTAACATGCTCGTTCTCAGTGGTACTTTGATCTTCACATATGTTTATTGCCATATATGACAGGCTTTGTTGGAGTATTCTGGCCATCTGAAATCCTCTTTGAAATTCTCTTTGGATTATGCATCAAGGCCGCTGACTGACTTTTTGCCTCACCAAAAATTTTTGTGGATCCTTGGTGCTTGGGAATCAGTTGAAGGAGGTTAGTGTTGCCATGTTAATTACCCTTAGTCATATTATTCTATTTTGATAATTGATATCCTCTCTTTTGCTGCAGTGAACGAAAAAGTTTCTAGTTTTGTACTGGAGATGTGGTTTAGATGGCATGCAACTCTGTGGGAGCCCTGCCCTATGATTGCAGAGGTAATTATGAAAAATTTAATGTAAAAATAATTAGATATTTTATGTTTCTTGTTTAATAGACTATGCACTTTCCATGCAGACTCTTCAAGATGATGATGGCTATGGTATTATGCTACCTCATAAGCTTTTTTGGCCCATTAAATTGGCTATGGTCGATCAGATTCTGTAAGTTTTTTATTTGACATGGAATCAATTTATTTTGTAGCTCCCGGTCTTTGGAAATCTCATATGCACCTCAAATTGTAGTGATGTTTGTCTACTTTGTATCAAAGTGGTTCTTGTTAATGATAGTTACATTTAATTTATTCTGGATTGTTAGATGTATTCCTTATTCGCTCTGTTGGTTGTTGCAGTCTTTATGCATTACTTCCTTTTATTCATTTCCTTTCCTAAAACCCGTTTTAATGTAGGAAAAATGCAAGCATTGGAGATTACCACATGCATAACTTCAAGATTAGATCTGCTTCACGTAATCTTTGGCTGAGTTCTGCGAATATGCTTAATTTACATGGTTTGCTTCTCTCTGTTGCGCGGTTTTTCTTCCAGCAGGTATTCCCTATGCTTAATTGACAAGACATTCTTTATCGTTTTTTAGACTAAACCTTGGCTTATCAGTAAACTGGACTTCACCCCTATATGTATGTGCTTGTAGATTATATATGCACACAAAAGGTCATTTGCGGATTCAAGATATGCTAAAATCAGATCCACATTGCATTCTATCGAGGAATCAGGGAACAGGGTAAATATTTTCTATTGCTCTCAAAATGATCAGTCAGAAGTTTCACTTTTATGTTTTTTCGGCATATTTAGGTGTGGAGTAATTTACTTTGTATATTGATACAAAATTAATTTGTAGAGATTGGATGTTTCATTTTAGCATGCAGTTACCATGCGATCAAGTCTCCTGATTTCGTTTTGGCTCTATGATCTTATGTTGATTTCTCTTTCCTTTCCACCCTTGTGACGTTTGATTTGTAACATTACAGGTAGAAAATATGGAGCTTCTGGTTTCGCTTCTGGCGTCATCTAACCACCATGTATTTACATCCTTGATTGATTCTTATATTAAGCCACTGCTCAGTGAAATTTACACCACATGCGCATCCAATGGTTAGTACATGCTACATTGTGGCTTCAAAATATATGTTTGATTCCATCCATTTTCCCCAAATGACTTTATTGTTTGGTTATTATGTTTCATCACATTTTTCTTCTCAAATATCTGTAGACATCCTGCATGTTGGATGTGCACTGTTACGAATTGGGGGGTTACGTTATAATCTTTTGGTCCGCTGTGTTGATCTGGATCCCACTTTAAAATACTCTATCAAGTATTCAGAATTAACAGAGAAGATAGCTTCGCTTGAGATTGAGATTCAGGTATTTTCTATATTTACTTTTTGTTGCAAATGCCTATTCGTGCTTTATACTTACTCTATTGCAAGTTTTGTTGCTTATATATTCCTCTAGGTATATGCTTCAAGTGGTCAAGTATGTAGATTGACTTCTTTCATTATTTGCTACTAGGTAGTTTGTCAATATTTGCTGAAGTTGCAGCAAACTGATTGCTATTGTCAGGCACATATTTTTCCAAGCAATGATCTGTGAAACAAATTGTTTTATCTCTGGAAGCGTTCTATCGACTATCACAGAGATCTTTTGTCCTCATTGACATTCATAACCTCAATTGATTTTATCCATTTCTCTTCTAACACTATATGCATACTGTTGTCGGTAAACGTTCATAGGCCTCCTAATTTTCTTATACGTGTTCGCTATTTTTATTCATTACATTGTAATATTTGTCTCTTAACATTTCACTATTCATTTGCATGATTGTCTAATTTGTAATAATAAAAAAATACTCCGTTAGGTAGATGAAGGTGAATAACTACGCTATCAGTTTGAATAAAGGATATCCGACCTTAGAAAGAAATTGTATAAAGCCGATCTCCGAATTAGAAGTTTAGTGGTTTATACTTGTAGCACAAATGTTTTTTTATTTTCACTTCTTTCTTTTTGAAACTTATTATTGTAAATAAATTTGGTAGTTTATTTTTCTAATCTTTTATTGGACTTTGTCCCTGCTGTGCCTTGCTCCCACATGGTCTTTTACTGACTAATTCTTTTGCAGGTTCGGAAAGAATGCGTATATTTAGCTGGAAATATTCATCAGAGAGAAGATGATAGTTACAAAATAAATTTGCTACAAAAACTTAATGATGAAAGGAGAACTCTGCAAAGAAAGGTCCATGGGCATATTACTTTTTCTCGTTCGTCTACATGCTAGTAGCTAATAATTTGCATTGTCCATCCTGCAATTGTCCTTTCACTTACTCCTTGCTTCTTGCCCTTACTTGATGTTGTCTTCCCTTATATCAGATGGTGTTCCGTCCCAATCCTGAAAAATTTAACGAGTTGAAGAGCCTGTGCGATGATTTTCTTAAGATAGTTAAAGATGTTGTTGAATGGCTAAGTCATGTCAATAGCTTGAAAATGGAAGAAGTTACAAAGGATGTGTTCAATTGGCAGGTACTGTTAACTTGAAGTCTTCTTTAAGCATGGTCGGCATATTGTCTAAACCATGTATTGCTTGTCCATGTAACTTCTGGAAATTGATATGGCCTTCAGGCATGTTATTTGCTGTTAGTTTCTATTTATATCATTTTCGTTTGCAGGAGATGACATCACGCTTCATTGATCGGCTATCAAATGAATACACAGCATTCTCTGATATCACTGAACCTGTTCAAGTTGCAGTATATGAAATGAAACTAGGCTTGTCATTGATTGTTTCTGGTGTACTCTGTAAAAGATATCTGGCAAATGGACAGCAGGATATGGAATCTATTTTGGTAGGCAGAAGATCTATGTTTCTTCTAACCCAGTTATTCATTTTGCATAGTTCTTTGCAGTTGACATTTTAAATTTGTTTTACAGAATGTAATTTATAATTTCACGAGATTCCCTAGAGCCTGTGCATCAAATCTTGTCTCAATCAATGTTGGGAGGCAGCCCAAGATTTCAACCCGTGATATTGAATTGCCAATGAGTATTGAAGAAATAGACATGAATATGTTGCAAAATATAATTGGGTTAACTGGAGCAGCTTTTTCAGCAAAAGATGTTTCTTCTCACCCAGTGGTATGGAATTCATATAGCATTTGAAATGTATTTTTTTTAAATGTCTGCTTCTCTGTTAAGTTATGCAAGCTCATGATTTTTCAAAAAGAAAACTGTAGCCAGGATTTCGTTTTGGAGTTTTTGTAATGCTTAACGATGTCTTGCTCTTCCAGCAGGGCTCGACCTTGCCTTTTAAGGTTTCCGTCTACCACAATGTCCTAGCTCGAATCAAAGCATCTGCCGCTGATGCTCGTTTTCTAGGTGGTTCTTCATTTGAGGTTAGGCTCTTACCTAATAAGACCATGATGATTTTGTAGTAGTTTATCTGCTGCCAGTGGTTTCAGTGTGATACATATTGTCTGTTGGTTTTCCCCACTGGAAGGTTCTAACATTCCGCTTATGTTTTTGCAGCGCTTGCATGAGATCTTTGACGATGTTGCCAGTCTTTGGGCAAAACACCGGGTAAAACAAACGGACGAGAGTAATGGTCAGCAGTTCAAGTTCAGAGCCCGGGCATTTAAGATAGAGAGCATCATAGATATTGATATATCAAATTGCGCAACATTGCTTGCAAATGATAGCTTCTCTGAGTGGCAGGAATTGCTGGCTCAAGAACTAGATGAGAAGGTACCAATATTCTTTGAATAATAGATATTGTGGGAATATATACCTCTAAAACACAACAATGTTTGGTTATGTTTTCATTTCACTTTTATTCTTTCCCCGGAACAAATTCCTGTTTGTTTAGCTTTTCAAAAAAAAATCCCAAAACAATTTCTAAAGTTGCTCTCTCTCGAGACATGATTTGAAAGATTTCACTAGATTTCTCTGCTACTGTTACAGTGAAAAGATTTGACTGCTACAAAAAAAATAATATTTTGACACAAACATCACTCTATTTTTCAACTTGTTCTACAATACTTTTTCTCAAACAACTTTAAACATGATTTGACTGGCATTTTGTCTAATCTCAAATCATAAACAGACATTACTTTCATTTTCAAATTAATCTCTCAAAACATATTCCCCCCCCCCCCCCCCCCCAAAAAAAAAAAATGAAAATAACTCCCAAAACCATTCCAAACATTGCCAAATCTGTGAATCAACAACTTGTTGCCCTTGCAGATGAGAGTTAACGAGGAAGGTGGAGCTTTAGAGCAAGACTGGAATGCTCAGGAATCAGATTTGGATGGTATTGTCAACATTTACAATCAGTTGTTTGGTTCAGTGGACCTTGTTCAGAGAGTAAGTTCAATATAAACAATTTAGTACCTATCCAAAATATTCCCCTGAAAGATCTTTCCTTTGTAGACTTGTTTAAGATCATTATTATGTTCTGATTAAAATTTCCTTAGTCTACCATCTCCAAAATATTGTTAAGTCAGCATTAAAAAACTATACAAATAGGGATCAGAGTAAAATACAGACCAGCGTAACTCTTTTTACCACATTTTTAGGAATATTGGTGTTTTTTAGAGTAAAATTTTATATATATGAGTTAGTACCGGACTTCATTTTTTGCATTTTCTAATACCTTTTCATGTATGGAATTTACCTGATCAGCCTGGCAGTATTCAAGTCTCTGACGCGGATAGACTGTCTTCCTTCCTCAACTCTTATATGCTTGGAGTAAAAATGGCCCGAGGTGATTGATTTCTGCATAACCTCATTATAATGATCCTGGATTTTTGTAGCCTAAATTTGTCTTGTTGTCTCATTTTTGCAGACATGAAAGGTTCGTTCGCTTCTTGTTTTGATTCGAAGGTTGCGCCAGAGCACTTGTTCCGCCTCTCTATGGAGCATGATGATAAGTTCATTCCTTTTGACAAATCAACTCGTGCTTACAACTTTTACAAGGTGTGTACTTCTGATTTTCAGAAATTCGTCTCTGTCAGATCAGGGTAACCTTTTTGTCTTTACTTATTTTTTTAACTCCTCTTGGCCTCTATCAGGATTCAAATGCACCCATCATGTCTAAATTGGTGGAACCAGTTGTAGTTCTTAAACATCGCATTCTTATCCTCCTGAAAGAATATAATGACAATCTTGCTCTCCAGAAAATTTCACAAGTTATTGATATGATTTTAGCTCTACCTCTTGACACTCCTCTTGGCAAGGTAGAGTCTATATTATTATGAGATTCTTGTTCTCTTCCATCACATGTTGTTTGTGGCATGCAGAGCAAAATATGCCTGCCTTAGCACCTATATATTTGAATTTCCATTTATTTATCTTTGAAGGCTGTCTCGGCTTTGGAGTTCCTGGTGGATAGAGTTCGGATTTTTCAAGAAAGTGTTGCCAAATCTCCTATCTCTGGTATGCAAAGAATTTTTTTACTGTATATCGTTTGTTTTTTATGCAAAACAAAATAACCGCAAGATTTCTCATTTAATGTTATTGTACTAGTTGAACAATTGGATCCTATTCATGCTCTGGTGTCTTCATGGCATAAGTTGGAATTTGATTCTTGGCCTGCACTGCTTGATGGAGTTCAATCCCAGTTCGAAATTAATGCGGGAAAAGTGAGTTTTTATTTCCTCTTTAACCAATTGCTAGTTTTGTTGGGGCACACTATGTCACATGCTTATCCATGAGTCACATGTCTATTGAATTGTTTCTCGTCATTATGGAATCTTGTTCTAGAATTACTAATACTGTTTTTTTGCTTATCTATTCGCAGTTATGGTTTCCGCTGTATAGTGTTTTTCAACAAAGCCATACTTCTGATCTTGATCAATACGGTAGCTTAATGATTGAAAGGCATGTACCCAATTATATCTTTCTTCCATCTTTAGGAAAAGATCTTTAATCTTATTTGATGTCTAATTCTGAGTGAATTTGCAGTCTGGAAGAATTTTTTAAGACATCAAGCATTGGAGAATTTAAAAAGCAACTTCAGTTGCTTCTTTCTCTCCATGGACAGATAAGCAGTTCCATGAATTGGAGATCTTATACGAGGTAAATCTTTTTCTCCTGGACTTCTAACAACCTTTTGCTTATTTTGTCGTCTTCATGCCAAATTTTGAAATGATGATATATTATGTAATTATGCTACATCCATATAATGGTTCTGTGATGTGCCACTCTTTTCTTTACGACAATTTTAAATGAATTATTAAATATACAGCCCTTGCTCAGAGGAGAATGTGAAAATACTGTACAACACATTTGGCTTCTATGTTCAACTTTTTCCACGGTAAGTTCTGTTGTCCTGAATATTTGTCTTCTACTTTCTGTCTTTTATAGCCTAATGTTGATTATTTTTTGCATGGGTTTATTATTTTTTTTGTAAAGAATTCTGGAATATACCGAAGCAAATAGAAGAAGCATCGAGAAGGAGTTGAGTGAACTTTTAAAGATGACAAGTTGGAATTCAATTGTTAACTTCAAATTAGCCAGGCCGAAACTAAGAAAGATTGTCAGGAAGTATACGGTAAGATAATATTCATGATCATCAGTTTGCCAGTACTTCCTCCAAACTTGGAAAAACTCAGCGTATATCTACCGTCAGTATGTCCTTCGCATTGAAATGAAGAAAGGAGATATTGATCATGTGATGTTGTACATATATGATTGTTCCGATAAACATCCTTAAAAATGATTATAAACATTATATTGTTATCGATAGTTGTCACTGATTTTGTTTCTCGGGACACCATGCAGCTTTGCTCTACTCCCTTCTCAATATTCTCTTTTCTTATATTATTTGAGAATTCTAACAACCTCTTGTGTAATCATTGGCTTATCTTCACAGGACTTGCTCCAACAACCTCTTGTGGAATTCCTGGGTCAAGAAACTAAACGTACGCCGACGAATCCCCATTCTGTTCAAGTCCAAAATGCCATGATCGATCCTTATGAGGTCATTAGGACTCTCCTTGATATTGTCTACAATGAAACTCAACTGAGATCCAAGGACAGGTAGACTTCGACCTTTAATAATGGTCATATGTTTCTCGTATATTATGCAGCTATGTTGAGTTTTGGTTCTTTTTCGCAGTTCTGTATGGTTCGCTGATTGGTGGAAGAACCTAGAGAGAGTGGGAGGTAGGCTCATGACTAAGTGTGACTTCGTATGGTTTGACTTTTCGCGTATTTATTATTCTTAGGCTAATAGGATAGCTAACCATGCAGAGATCGTGGATGGCGTCAAGGATAATTTAACATCACAATCTTCATCCCCTTTTAACTGGGAAGGGAGAAGTCAGTTGTGGTATACAATTGAAAATTTATGCAGCTCTCTAATTTACTGTGGTGAACTTTGGGAGGATAAAAATAAGAAATTGGGGAAGAGGAGGGCGTTTTCTGACCTTCTGATGCTCCTTGATAGTTGTGGCCTGTCTAAGCATAGAACATCATCAAAGGTACTTTTTTTATTTTCACTTATTTGCGTCTAGTAATTTTTGTAAGTTTATATTTGGTTATTTTTTATTTTCTAGTTTTATTTACCACTCTGTTCCTCCCAATTTATTGCCCCTATTCAATGTTGGTACATCACAAATCAAGGTTTCAAGTTCATAAATATAAATTTTTTCTAGTTTTACCCACCATATGTTCATCCCAAAAAGTAAATGTTTACTTTTATTTTTTGACCACAAATTGTCAAGCCACTCAAATCTTCCATACTGACTCGAAGTGGATGTACAATGTTGGAATTGGAATACGATTAATTTTTAACTGACTTATGTTGTCATGTAGGGCGAATCCGAAAATTCATGGCTTCTCCAGCCGTCCTATGACGTGCAACACTTGCTGCTGACTCAAAGTGATCATTCTTCTAAAAATGTCGATGTTGATTTGAGCCAGATTCAGAGCTCGTCTCTTGAAATGACATGGAAATCAGCAAACAGATACTACTTCAAGAGCATTGCTTCAATTAAATCTCTGGAGAAGATACGTCTGAATTTTCATAAAGATTTGAGTCTGATACAGGTATGTCCAGATAAAACACTAAAACAAATATTTGAGTGTGGTTAAAAGGTCATCTATTGAATTTGTAACCTAAACCGAACATCAAGGGGGTTTGATTTACCCTAAAATAAAAAAAACCAACTCTACTTTCCACTCGTATTTATAAACACTCCTGAAGTTTAATCATGCATGATTGATGTGACAGCTTTGCTCTCTCTGGTGTAGGTTAACAGGTCAGGTTCTTATGTGGATCATCTTATAGAGATACAGCAAGAGCAAAGAGCTGTTGCCTATGATTTTTCAAAGAAACTCAAGTGCTTGAGGCAAAATTTATGGCCTCTATCAAATTTAGTTCATTCTATTGACAAGTCCACGGGAACCGACTTTGATAGCTCTTTAGTCAAGAACCAACACGCCACTTTCAAATGCATGTGGCAACAGAAGGTAATTGTCTACCTGTATATAGCACAAAATAGCTTAGCTGACTTTCTTCTGCTTCAAAATTCTGACACCACATTATGCCGTTTTTGTAGCAAATTTTTGACGGTTTCTGCACTTTGCTGTATGAAGAACATATGTTGCTACAAAAAGTACAGAACAATCATCTGGGTACTTGTGCTACTATTAGAGTTGGTGCAGAAAAGATTCGCATACTTATTCAAAAAGCTCTTCCCCAATTTCAGAAGTCTAAGGTAACTGAAGCAGTCATTTGCTTTCCTAGTTGATTGAAATTTTGAATATTACTTTCAACTCACTTCTATTGGGTATTTGACAGAATCTGCTCGATTTCCACCTCCTTGGAAATCATGAAGATATTACTATGGTGGGAATTGCTCTGCACCCGTTTGGTGTTACAAAAGAAATGGAACAGCTGGTGAGTCAGAACTTTGAGCTGATTAAGACATCTGAGAGGAATCTCTCTGATTTTATCGAGCAAGAAGATGAGCAGAGCGCTGTTGAACAAATCCTGCTTGGACATTTTAAAGATTTATTTGCAAAGGTCTGTGTCGGTTTCATACTTGATTTTATTCCTGAATATTCAAAGAAATATTATTCCCCAGTTTGAACCTCTAAATTTTGCTTTCAGGCTTGGGATGCTGAAAAATTGTATTCTTCTTCGCAAGAAAAAAAGTTCTCAGATAATGCGAATGGAAAAAATATGAGTGAACTCGAATCTGATTTTGATGTTGCCCTTAAGCAAATGTACAAGGACATTGTGGATATATTTCGGAGTGTTGGGTCTTCAAATCATAAGTTTGCTCTTACTGAAGAGATGTTAAAAAATATGACGGAGTGGAAGATTCTATTTGAAAATGATACCGAGCATCTGCAGTTGGACCTCATCTGTGAGGATGTGCTGAGAACAATCCAGTCTGCCGTAAGTTGATTTATTATTTACATCCGGTTTGATTTTCCATTCAGTGCATCTGATTTACGTGCTTAAATTTTCTTTCTCAGGGTGAACTACTCAACTATTGTGGAGACAGAAACCCTCGCGTCAGTTCTTCTGTATTTGAACAATTGAGAAATGTACATCTCCTATTGGATACGATACTAGCCTTTGGTGATAATCTTCTGCAGGATTTTCTGGTCATCCATAGTATGGTAAGGGATACCATAAATATTAACTTGTAAACAAATAACATTATTATCGTTTCTTTTGGACAAATTTTTTGAATAATAAAGTTAACAAAGAGAGTGACATCTTAACCCCATTGTTTCTGTTATCTGTAGGTATCTAAGGTGACTTACGCACTTGCAAACATATTTGCTTCATTATTTTCCAAAGGATTTGGTACTGCTGAAAATCAAGAAAATGATACTGAGGAAGATGGAACTCAAGATGCACACGGAACAGGTATGGGTGAAGGTGCAGGGGTAAATGATGTCAGTAATCAAATCGAAGACGAAGATCAACTCCTTGGACTATCCGAAGCGGTATGCAAATTTCATGCATAGATCTTTCAATTTAAGATTCAATTTTTATGGTACAATCTTAACTTGCTTTGTGCTTCTGTAGCCAAATGAAAAGCGTGACGAGTCTAACTTGCCGAGTGAAACCGAGAAAGGAATAGAGATGGAACAGGACTTTGATGGAGATGCATTCAGTGTTAGTGAGGATTCAGAAAATGATGATAACGAAGATGATAATGAGGATGAGCCGAAACTGGAGTCTGCCATGGGGGAAGTAGGTGATAACAGCGATGTTGTTGATGAGAAACTTGGGGGCACAAATGATGAAGATAATCCGAAAGAAAACGAGAAGTACGAAAACGGGCCTTCGGTTAAAGATAAATCATCCGAAGATGACGAGCTTCGAGCTAATGAAGGCTCTGCTGCTGCTGAAGAGAATGGTGGAGATCTTGATGCAAAAGAATCTAACGAAAATGGTGATGATGAAAATGGTAATGAAGAAGGTGATGAAAATGGTGATGAAGAAGGCGCAGAGGATATGAACATAGACAAAGACGATGCGTGTGTAGATCCTTCTGGAGTAGATCCTGAGTGCGAAAACGAGAGCTCCGAGAAAGACACACAGGTCGATGAAATGGAAGCTACTGAGCCAATGGAAGATGGTGAAACGGAAGATATGGATGATGATTCCGATTTAAATAACGATGACAAGGACAATGAAGTTGAGGAAGAGGCAAACTCGGAGCATTCTGCAGATGATGCCGAAGCAGCCAATGCTGATGGGAATTCCTTAGAAAACGATAAAGAGGCGGATTTTAAGATCCCCAAGCAAGATTTTGCGCAAACAACTCCGAATAATAACACTGCTCAATCTGCGGGGCAGTCTGTCCAAAACTTATCCGATGCAGCTGATACGCGAGAACTTGCACCAGATGACAAAAATTCGAATTTCGGTGAATCTGAAAACAATCTCGCTCCAACAAGTGGCCAGCCTAATGGCTCTGAGCTTGAAATCACGGTCGCTGACTCAGCGAATGGCCAAAGATTGAGCGATGAGCAGTATAGAAGTTCTCAAACTGATTCGGACTCACTTAATCAGAAAGTTCAGCCGAACCCTTATCGCAGCATCGGTGATGCTCTTGAGGGATGGAAAGAGAGAGTCAAAGTCTCGGTTGATCTTGAGGCCCAAAAAGACGACTCAAACGATTTGACGGAGGAGAAAAATGCAGATGAGTATGGCTACAGTGCTGAGTTTAAGGAGGGTACAGCTCAAGCACTTGGACCTGCCACAGCTGAACAAACTATGAAAAATATTTCCCAAGATGACAATGAAAGGGATGTAGGAAACACGGACGACATAAGAGAACCCACCACAGCTGAAACCGAGATTCAGACAACATCTGAAGCTGGTCCAATCAGAAACTCCGCTCCAAATCCAGTAAATGATGGTCAAAACATGCAAGGGATATTGGATTTGGAAATGGAAATTGAAGAGCCTATGGAAGTTGATGGAGAACGTGATTTAGATATGAGTAGCTTGTCGGATAGTTTGGTAACTGTAAATAGGTCGTTCATGAGTGAGGACATGCGTCAGACTAGCAGGTTCCCGATGAACGATGATGATGATGAACTCGGTCATGCTAATAATGGCTCTGAGCCCTCCAATGATGTAAGAGATGATGCTGCAGCTCTTTGGAGAAGATACGAATTGGGTACGGCAAGATTGTCTCAAGAATTGGCGGAACAGTTGCGTCTGGTTATGGAACCAAATTTAGCTAGTAAGCTCCAAGGCGATTACAAGACTGGTAAAAGGATTAATATGAAGAAGGTAAGTATGCAAATTTTTTATTTTCTTAGTTTCGAATTCGTTTATGGTTGATGGTTCCATTCATTGTTGAGCAATCGTCGTATTAATTTCTGTGATGTATGTACATAGGTGATTCCATATGTTGCCAGCCAGTATCGGAAAGACAAGTTTTGGCTGAGGCGGACCCGTCCGAGCAAGCGTGATTACCAAGTTGTTATCGCGGTCGACGATTCTCGCAGTATGTCGGAAGGGCGTTGTGGTAATTTCGCCATGGAAGCGTTAGTGACTGTCTGCCGAGCAATGTCCCAATTGGAAGTGGGGAATCTGGCAGTTGCGAGTTACGGGAAGCAGGGCAATATACGATTGCTTCATGATTTCGACCAACCGTTCACTCCCGAAACTGGAATCAAGGTTTGTTTAGCTTAACTTACGTGTGACGTAAATTGAATTTTTTCGCCATCTTCATCGCAATAATCTTAAGTATTTATTGATTTGTTTGGCATTTTGATGTGGGGCAGATGATCTCGAGTTTCACCTTTAAGCAAGAGAACACAATCAAAGATGAACCAATGGTTGACCTACTGAAATATTTGAACACCATGCTTGATGGGGCTGTAATGAAGGCTCGGTTACCATCTGGGTCCAATCCTCTACAGCAGCTTGTACTAATTATAGCCGATGGCCGTTTTAATGAAAAGGTATGCAATTTTTTTTTTAATCTTTTATTTTCTTTATTTTGTTCGGGTAATATACAGACCTCGTCTTATTGTTCTCATTATTTTCTTGAATCAGGAAAAATTGAGACGGTATGTGAGGGATGTCTTAAGTAAGAAGCGTATGGTTGCATTTCTGCTACTAGACAGCCCGAACGATCCCATCAGAGATCACGAGGTAAGTCTATAATATTCGTCTATTGTATATTCCCGTGTTATATTGTATACCGAGACCCTTTTCAGCAGTTATCTTAATTTGATCATATGCCATTAATCCAGGAGGCGACTGTTGATATGAAGACTCTTGATATAAAGATTGGTAAATATCTCGACTCTTTTCCATTCCCATACTACGTCATTCTGAAGAATATCGAAGCACTTCCCAGAACTCTAGCTGATCTTTTAAGACAAGTAAGTTTATTTATTTATTTATTTTCTTTCTTTTAAATAGGCAACCTGGTAGTTGTAATGTGCATGTATCCGAGTGTAAGAAACTGGCTGGAATTTTTTGTTCATTGGTTGATCCGTTTTTTCAGTGGTTTGAGCTAATGCAGAGCTCAGGGGAGTGATGAGGAAAAAGTCGAAGATTGTTTTACGCCTTTTCTTGATCAGCAAGAAACAGGGTAGACAAATTTTGTAGTTGATTTGATAGGCAAAAGGTGGTAATTAAACCATCTGTCTTAGTAAGAATTCTTGAATCATGTACATATTTACGTACTATTGAATGCCCATCATATATCTATTTTTCGGGGTCAATCTTTACAGCGAAATCGATTATAATTAATTACTTTGTTCACTTTCGATAGATACTCGGGAAATAGTTCGTTGTAGAAGTGGCGGAAATGAGTTAATACATAATATAAGCTGATAAAAACTTTAGTGCAACATGAAGAGTGTAACCAAACTTTAGTACCAACTTTGTAATTTTTTTTGAAACAAGAATATTTATATAGCATTCTCAAAAAAAATTATTTGGGCCAATCACAATTAGGGGTTGGAATATATATATATATGAGATTTCGATTTCTGATCTTATTTTAAGTTCCGAAGATTTCGATTTTTTTTTTCGGAATATTACAATAAAAATACCAATATTATTGTGTATTTTATATTTTAGGTGACCGAAAAATGAAATTTTTTGAATTCCGCCGATTTTGACCCGAAATTTTTTCGATTTCGGAACAAATTTTTTCATTTCCGAAAGCGCTTATTCCGACTCGTCCTGTTTACACCCTTATTAACAATATTTTATGAATATGCATTTCAAAAATCAATTAAATTATGATGTTGGTACAACTTGTGGTAATTCTTTTCTCCACCTCATCAATTTCTTTTCCCCAAAAGAATAACAATAAATAAATAAATAAAGAAAAAAAAAAGGAAAAAGAAAAACCTTTTATTATTATTGAAACCGCGCCATTTTCATTCATATACAAAACTCGGGTAACTCAAGAGTCGAGACACCACCCCACCCCCACCCACCCACCCCCCAAGGCAAACATATATTTTGATTTTCAAATTCAAATTGAAGAAATCCAATCTCCGATTAGGGTTTCGGGTTGAAATTCGAGACGAATGAATTCCGGCGATCTCAAAAAAGTATGGGAAATCAAAGCTCTGAAGAGAAAACCTAGAAGCGAAGAAGCCCAGAAGATTCTAGAAAGAATCGCCAAACAGGTTCAACCCATCATGCGTAACCACAATTGGAGGGTCAAATTACTTTCTGAATTCTGGTATTATCGACGATAATTGGTTTCATTTTTTAATTTTTAATTTTTAATTTTTATTTTTGGGGGATTTCGTATCAACAATTTAATACGAAATTGAAAATTTTGCAGCCCAACCAATCGATCGCTGCTGGGCGTGAATGTAGGCAGTGGCATAAACGTAAAACTGAGGCTTCGAAGGGCGAACAACGACAATGATTTTCTTCCTTACCATGAAGTTTTAGATACAATGCTCCATGAGCTATGCCACAATGCCCACGGTCCTCATAACTCTAGTTTCTACAAGCTCTGGGACGAACTTCGAAAGGTAAAATTGTCGTTTTTATGTGTCGACTGTCGTTGCTTTGACTCGCAGAGTGTGCATATGGTGTATACGTATACAGTAGAACCTAAATTAATAACCTCGGTTAAATAATAGTTTCTCTCGGTCCGACTCGGTGAAATTATTGACTTGATAATTTAAGAATTCGCTAAATTAATAAAATTTCCCCGGTCCCGGCTGTATTAATTTATAGAGGTTTAATAGTATCTGAATAAGAAAGAATGAGCGTTCATTTCTAGAACTATGCAGTTGATAGTGTTATGCATCTGTGGTGATTAAATAACGAGAAATGGAGACATAATTTCTTTTGATTGCAATCTTTCAGCATAGAAAACTAACTATTACTAGACATCGTAGTTGAAAAACAGAGTCTTGATAAAGCAATATTTTACGAACCTTGGTTTAAATGGTGTGGCGTGAATTTTCGAATTTTAGTATCGATAATTTTTTTTTGGTTTTAGTTTGTCCCTTTTGATGCATTAACTTGTGTTCTTGTCTTGTTGTTTAAACTCGACAAAAAAATGAAGCTCCTAGGGAATATTCTTCAATATATACTCGATACTTTTAAATGGTCTCGGCGAGAAACTAAAACCCTCCAAATTCTTACTTTGATTTTCGACGTGAAATGCAATCTTCACAGGAATGTGAAGACCTCATAAACAAAGGGATAAGTGGATCGGGAGAGGGGTTCGATCTCGCTGGAAAGCGATTGGGCGGAAACTCCCATAATCGTTCTCTTTCATCACTCCGTAAAGCTGCATTAACTGCAGCAGAAAATAGGGTCCGTTTGGGATCCATAATGCCTTCAGGGCCTAAGAGAATCGGCGGTGATAGTTCTATTATGTCTGCACTTAGTCCCGCACAAGCTGCTGCAATGGCAGCCGAAAGAAGATTTCAGGATAACATCTGGTGCGCCTCGGAATTCTACGACCTAACTGGAGAAGACGAATTTATTGATAATTTACCGAATTCTTCAGATAATAATGGGTGCTGTTCTGAAATCTCAAAGACTGCGTTCGATGAACGTGATAAAATGGTGAAATCTCGGAAAAGAAGCCGAGAATCGGACAATGGTGGACAAGAATCTGCGTTTATAGACTTGGATAAAGATGTTTTGAATTCATGTCTAGATGAAAAGCCCCCGATTAAGAATTTCCAAAATCGTGGAGAAGCTTCGACTTCGTCATCCGTATCTAGCCACGACCCGATGCATGATAATCGATGTGGGACATGGCAGTGCACATCATGCACTTTGTTGAACCCAGTAAGTTATTAATTAATTTACTCAAAAAGAAAAAAAGTTATTAATGTATGGGCAAATTACGGCCACCCCCCCCAGGTATGGTCAAATTACGACCCCCCCTCCTGTTTGGGTAATTACAGCCACCTCCCTCAACGATGTATTATCTTACGAAAATTACCCCTCCAGAGGTAAATTTAGGGATGTTAAATTGGTAAAACCGAACCAAAATTTCGGTACACCAACATTTTATACCGTTTACCGAACTGAATATACGATTTGGTTCGGTAAATAACCGAATTACATAAATTTTATGTAAAAATATTTAAAAGGAGGGGTGGCTGTAATTACCCAAACAAGAGGGATTTTCTCGTAATTTGGGCATTCCTCAGGGAGGTGGCCGTAATTTGCCCTTAATTTATTGTTTATTTTAAACTATTGTCGTGTTACTGGTATTCTTCTCCTTCATCACGATTATGTTCGGTACTGCAACTAAGTTTGAGCCGTCTTTATTTTACAATTATTATCAACCTTTTCATTATTTTCAACATTTTCTTCGATTTTGCCATTCGTTACTCTTAACTAGTTAGTTGAAAAACAACTAATTAAAAGGGTATTTTAGTGATTTTCTTTTTTTAGAAAATTAGGTTTGTGTAACAATAAAAAAATTTAGATACTAAACATGAATGAGTGGTTTGTTCTATATGCTAGGCAAAATACTCGCTGCATATATGCTAGAAAAATATTCGTGTATTTCTATTGGATATCTGTTCCCTCTGCATTCTTGATGATCTGTATTTTTTTTATTTTTCCTGATTATGGCAGCCATTAGCTCCGATTTGCGAGCTGTGTGGGACCCAAAAGCCGAAAGACGAAAACCTGAAGAGTGTGATATGGTCATGTCGATTTTGCACTCTGGAAAATGATGTGAAGATGGATAAATGTGGTGTATGTGGCTCTTGGAGATACTCTTATGGTGCACCTGCAGCTACTCCAGCACCCTACCTTGGCACTTAATAGTTTTGATAACATTTGTTTATATCATCCGCATAATTTATCAACCGATAATTTTGCCTTTGCTTTTTTGGCTGCCTGAGTAGCATTATTTTGTCTCAGCATTACTGAAAAGACGAAGACCGCGATTTGGTCGTGTGGATTTGTACTTTAGAAAATGACGTGAAGATGGATCAACGTGCTGCGTGCCAACCTTGGAAATATACTTAAGGTGCACGTTAGCTTTTCAATCGTTTGAACGTTGGTTTACGACGGTCAATTAACCATGACCGTTGATCTGCACCGATCGTGAAAAAGTGTTCAAATCGATTCGAGTTTTGGTTGAATCCTTATCTCGATTTTTTTTTCCTGGTAACACTGATCCAATAGACTTGAATTTCCTTCACATTAATTCAAGAAACGAACGCTCACG